GAGTCTGGACTCTGGAGTTCTGCTGATTTTTGCCAACTTGAACACCATTGCGACCATTGACAATGATTGAAGCTTACGAGGGTGGATCAGACTTGGAGGTTCAGCGCTTCAGCAGCCAATCGGATGACGAATTGCAAGACACCATGAAGTACTCTTGTGAGGGAAATGACTTGGAACATGACGCTCTTCGTGAAAAGTGTGGGCTATTGCAACAGCCGCCGCCAATAGCTATGTATAGTAGTACGGTACTACTAGTACTAGACCAAAATTCCTCACAGTATCGAACCAGACAACCTACCACTACCACCTCTATATCGAGTCGCTAACGGCACACCTCTTCAACACCTGCCTCCGGATCTTCGAAGCTACTAGATGATGTACTGGTATGTTTTTTTGACAAATCTTAGCGTGCTGGGGCCTGTTCTTTTGGTCATGGGACACGGGGGTATGCGTCTCTGTGTCATCTACTGGCTCAACTCAAGCATCACGAACACCACACACTTCAGTCTCACGAATCGAAGTTCGCTCAATTTGCTACTCGAGGTAGGGTATTCCGACAAAGATCTGCTACAAGTGTTTCCTTTTTTAAGGATTTCATTCTTCCAGTTCTTCTATCAGCTTCGAATTCCGTCTTTCAAGGCATGCCTTCTCAAAACTCCATGTAAAAGTGCTCTTGGTTTTTTTTGTCTACTCTTGCTTCGATACAAATAACACCGACTGTCACCAGCTGGATTTAGTGTCACCAGCAGGTATCGAGGTCAATTCCATACTTAAAACAAGTTAGATAGACTGTGAGATAAAATTTATCTACTTGGTCTGAAGTGCTTGTTCAACACCTGTGGCATCCTTTGCGGATGTCTTTGATCAAGAGGTTTCTGTTGAGGCGGTTCAAATATCCACAAAAAATATTCTAAGTAAACACTTGCCTTCATTGCGCTGTACTCTGCCACCTTCTTGTACAAAGCCTGGCCAAGTGAAATAAGACAAGCAGCACTGCAATAAGCACCGTCAGTAATTTCAAAAAGCAGCCAAGTGACACATACGTTGGCGAGTGATGCTGTGAGCACCGTTCACACCCTCTGCACAAGAGGCAAGAGGGGAAGAAAGTAAAGGTGATGATTAGAGCGTGCAGTTAGCCATGTTTCACCTAAGTTCCAGCCAAGTCAGGTAAGTTGGAGCTAAGTGCTTGACTCACCAGGTAAAGGTGGTAAACCTGGTAAATGAGTAGATGCGTAAATCTGTGAACTTCGGGGCAGCGGGCTGCTGCGGTAATTTTTTTTTTTTTTTGAATCCTTGGTTATTGTCCTTTGGGGCTGCTGCGGTAATACTACTAGTAAGGACTGTACAGTTAGTCTAAAGTAAATTCGTCTAGATGAGGCACACAGTTACAATATACTGTCCCACATTTCACACAACGAGCAAACGGGCCGAGGTGAACTTAAGAAAGCTGTTGTGTCGACAACATGCGCAGATCAGTAAATATGTAAATCTCAACGAGATGAATTCTGCGTCTCGTGAATTATCAGCACACAATGAGCGAAGACAGCGCCAAGAGGTATTTTATCCTGGTGTCATCTGAATGCTCTTTTAGACTCTCGAGAAATGTAGAAAAATAGTAGCACAAAATCGACACCGCAACCATGATACCTGGGACACGATCAGGCGCATCATCGATTGCCTAGATGTTGATGGTGTTAGTGTGGATGAAACGGATTGGGGCGACACCGAAGGTAGTAAGGCGAGTAGGCCTTCCATGGCTCAATCCCAACATCATTCAATTACTCCATGCTGTAGAAATATATGCTCCAGCAATCCATGAGGAGAATTTGACCCTTCCACGTATCTTGGAGCAGGAACGCGCTGCTCAAAATTCCATTGTGGTTCAACGACTTCCACACTACTGGTATAACGACTACTGGTATAATTAAAAGCTAATTCGACCAGTGCCCGCGCTCTCCTGGAGGCTCGTAGGTCATCGATCATCCCAGTGTTGGAGCACTAAATATTGTTCTCAGAAACACCCACAAACTACAATGTATGTCTTCTTGATATCTGTTATCTTTATTGAGACCACCGAATACGAATTAGATGAATTTGTACCCCAGTGTGAATTACGGCAATGTCCGGCTGAGTTCCATTCACTATACAAGCCTTCAATGCTGTTCTTGGTTCTCTTTTTTCTCTCGTCGTCTACATTTCATACCTGTTTCGTCATACCTAGCATTGTACAACAAATAAAATCTATTCATGTTACCTCCACCCACTCTACAAATGTCTGCTGACTCGACCGACAGCACCCCTCCTGCACGAATAAGGACGCCTGAGCTGCTACCACAGACACCAACACGGTCTACCGCACAAGACTTACAGCCAGGTCTGCTTGTGGACGACACTCCGGTCAAACGCAGTTGCTCTACGATGCAACCCTACACAACTAATACACGCTGCCGAGATACTACCCTCAACGCCATGGGCAATGAGATAAGAGGACATCTCGTTGGTCCGATGCCAGTCGAACAATTTCTTGAGGAATTCCTGCCGCCTTCAACGATCCCGGATTATCAACCTTTAACTTCCTTCTCGGATGGCGCCTTCGAGAGCACACTCTCTGCTGCCCATGAGACGAAAGCTTACGAACCATTTGTAAGTGTTTCAACCATGATCGTTGCCAGCCTGACTCCTAGGGCAGATTAATACCATGACATCTTTTGCTCCTGGTCTATCGTTTATCGACACCCACAGCAATGCAGACACGACAAACTGTAAATTATTCCCTTTCCACGTCAAACCGGATATCTGCGTCTATGCCAATGAGTCCCCGCCACCCCGCGCTGGACAACCCCCCTGCGACATTTCTGCTACAGAAGTGGTCATCGAATTCAAGTGGGAACCACATCATAACCCATTCTACACACCCGCAAATGGTCCGGGTCCTACATCGCACTTTATATCTGAGACTGACAAGGCCATGGACACGCTGGGTCAAATAACAAGCTATGCTGCAGCTCAACTTGGCGCACAATATCGTACTCACGCATTCATGGTCCTGATCATCTTTGATCAAGCTTACATCCTAAGATGGGATAGGGAGGGAACTACCGTTTCTTCCGCCATTCATTACAATGAAGAACCACATTTGGCTGACTTCTTCCATCGTTACGGACAAGCATCGCCTGCATTGCGTGGCGTCGACACATCGGTAACGCCCGCTAGTGCAGAGGAGGCTCGCCTTGCAAGGTTGCAATTAGGCCTTCCCGCTACCAAGCGTATGCTGAAAACGACCGTCCCTGGTGTCGATAACTCTGATTCGATTACCTTGGTTTTCCCTGCACCTCTGCCAGTTGGTCAAACCCCTATAGGCCGATGTACACGCGCTTGTCCTGCGTACGATCTTGGCAATAAAAAAGTCGTCATGTTGAAGGACTCTTGGCGGGTCGCGATCGCTGACGTTCTACCAGAAGGCGAAACGTACAAACTATTAAAAAAGCACAATGTTTCCAACATCGCGTCGTGCATTGCATGCCATGACGTGCCCTCTATCCCTCAACAAGCCCCGCAGACTTACAAGTTTGCAGATGCCCCCTGGGCATGTTCGCACGACACGATCACTCCGCACATTCACTATCGCCTGGTTCTGAATATTGTGGGCAAGCAGCTGTGTGAATTTGAAAGTTCTCATCAGTTCGTCGCAGCCATTCGTGACGCATTAATTGGTAGGATTCTGTCGCCATCTTCTCCCCCAAAAGTATTATATTCATGTTGTTACAGCACACAAGGATGCATACAATAGTGCGGGCGTGTTACATCGAGACCTTAGTGCCGGAAACGTCGTTATCCACAAGGGCAAGGGGATCCTCATTGATTGGGACCTATCAAAATTGATCAGCATCAAAGGTGCTCGACAAGTAACCCGTACGGTTCGTTCATCCTATGCCTAAGCTTTTTAGTCCGTACTAAATCTGCTGTCGTCACCCAGGGAACCTGGCAATTCATGTCGGCTCACCTGGTCCAAAACAGAGACGCCAGACATGATGTCGAGGATGACCTGGAGTCCAGTCTCTACGTCGTTCTATGGATTGCCTTAATGTACACGGAGACTCACTTGACCCCCCCCGTCCGATCATTACTCGTGAAGGACGTCTTCGAAGTTAATGAATTGGAGGGAGTTGGATCAACTTCAAAATCGGCGTTCCTCAACTCAAGAATACAATTTTCGAAGGACGTATTTGTTGACCGCAAACCGCTCGATAGCCTTGTTCTCGCACTTGCAGAGCTCTTTGCGATTCGGTATACTTTGGTCGCTCGGGAGGAGCAGAAAGCTTATGTTACCCTATGCGAGTACATAGAAGGTTTAAGCCCAGACGCTGCTGAATTGGCCTCCCTCATAAATCTCTCGAAGGCACATCCTTGTTACAGGTTGAAGATGAACATGGAGGCTTTGAGGTCGCATGAGAAGATCATAGAAGTTTATGATCTCCACCTCGGATTGGACGGCTGGGTTAAAGATCCTCCTGTAGCGCAAACTATCACCTCCTACGATAATCACCACGTAAAACGGCGCACCTTCACGAAGTCACAATGTGGTTCATGGGTAGAACTCACAACATCCAGCAAGAGACGTAGGGTTGAGGGGTAACCAAGGCATACGGACATGGTCATATTACCTGCGCTTGGCTCAGTAGTTACTTTGTGGAGTCACCAGCCTATTGTGTCACCAGTTACTAGTCATAACTATACCGTACATTTCGCTTTGGAAGGTGCTTGGAATTTGCAGACAGTGTCAGCATCCAGCGCTCAGCTCCCATGAGCGTTAAAAACACAAAGCAGCTCTGTCCTCAGAGGTCCTTCACATGCTACGGTCTGGATGACCATGTCCTCTAGTGCATTCGATGGAGTTTAAGCTTTCATGATATACTCTAACTCCGGCCGATTAATCGACTCCCTGATCTCGATGGCATGGGCTGCTAGACCAAAGGCTGCCTTGAGGCGGCAACGCTAGATCATTGTGGGAGCGTGCCGGTCAGCAACGCCAATTGCATGGAGAACTGTCTAATTTCCTGCATGTACTGCATCGCCTCTCTAAAGTTCTCGCATAGAGGTCGAAGGTGAGCTTCGTCAAAGATGGTTCTGCTGACCGACAGGACCTGGTTCAGTTCCGCTAGATGTTGTCTCCACGTCTTGAATTTTGCCTTACCTGCGGATATTAGAATGAGGTTTACATCCTTGAGCAACGGGACGGCCTGATTGTAGACTTGGAAAGGAACGCTCATGGCCTTCAGCTTTCTCTCCCAGTCAGTCGTCGAGGATTTCAGTGGAAGAACGACTATCACTGCCTTGTTCGCATCCATGATGGCAGGAATTATCGCCAGCATATATTTCCCTCCCCCAGTCCTGAGCATCGCGATGACGTCTGTCTCTCGCCTGAGAACAGAGAGAACAGCGTCTTGTTGCTGGGAAGATCACCAATTGGCCTGCTGGTAACCGAGAAGGATGCGCAAGGTCCACAAACTTTTTCTTGCCAGTATCGAATCTTTGTTTCACCAACTGATTTGGTGGCGGCGGGGGGTATTGTTCATCATCTTTTGACTCCGGTAAGTATATGCATGTCATCACGGTCCTCCACTCACCGCTCAAAATTTGACGGGTCGCTACCAAGGTCATTGACATCTGACAACTTCATTTGGTATGTTGCGCCTACGCTACCTATCTGTGCTGTGTTTGCTGTTCAAAGCATTTAACTTAACGCCTGCAAGCTTGTTGCTGTCCGCCGAGGGTGGACTGGTTGTGCCTAGACCGGTCGCACCCTGCCCAGCTTCGCTACTGGTAAACTCATTGGTACCTGGAGGATATGGTCAGCCACCCGCATGGCGTTGGCTTTGCACTTACTTTTAAACATCTATTCTCCATACCAAACCTCGCTGTCGTCTTGCGATCGTAATCAGCATACATGAACGCTGATATTATCATGGTCTCCACTGCAGGCACCAGAGCATTCACAAGGCACTGTGGAGGTGCGGTGACGGCGGCAGCAGCAGCTGGAGAATTGGTCCCTTGAAAGTTCGAACCAAACCTGCCTGACTCTGCCAGCTGCTTGAATTCGTGGGACTTAGCAAGCGTGTATGCTAATTACAGGCCTCCTGGAATGGCGTGCATCACCAACTGCCAATTGGTACTGGCTTGAAGAAATAGAGCCAGCAGGTCCTCTGGCGCCCCTGCAAGCGCGTCTGGACTTCGACCGTATATCCGGTTTTCTGTAGATCTGTTATGGCCGGCTTTGAGGGCTTCGACCACCGTATCTTGCTCATCGTCTTCCGACAAGTCCTCTGCAAAGCGACAGAGCTTGCGCTTGAATGCGGTACTGATGTGGCGCCATGAGCTGACGCCTAGACACAAACCGAGGAACGGTATGCTGAACCTGGCCATGTGGTAAGCTGATCTGTGTTGAACAGTTTGTGGTTGTTGACGAAGAGGTGCGTTTGGTACATCTCTTTTATTGCTGGCCTATCGGGGTAGCAGTTGTAAGCAGCAACCTGGGCCTTGTCAACGCAAGGTCTTGGATTATGAGGTCCCCTGTGACACCATCAATTGAGTGCGGGATGAGCTTGCCCATTCCGGACAGCGCGCCAGACTTGTGATAGGTCCTTAGAATAGTCAAGTTCTTGCCTAGCATGATCAGGTTGCGCTGTGAACGAGTCTGTCAATCGCATTGTCATATGTCCATATGTGCTCATGACGCCAGTACATACCTTGGTGTTCCTGTAGATCATTGGTGTAAGATCTGTACCACAACCGGGCGCTCCGCTCAGCCTTTAGCATCTGATCAGAACCAGCTTTTGAAATTTGGCTCAGTCTCTTAACCACCCCATCAACGTGCTCAATGCCCATATTCCAAATCAGGCGGCCATTGCGTACGACAGCGAACCGACTGAAGAGCTCTTTCTCACCAGTGAGAGCCTTGATAAAGCGATCTCTGTCGGCGAAACACGCGTTCCTACGATCAGATGGGAAGAAATAGCCCACATCGTGATTGGTGTTGTCATTCGCGATGTCCTGGTAGGTCACGCGCAGCCTATGTTCAGTCCAATCAGTAACATAGCCTTTCATGGGCTGTAGTAGGACGCTTGTGCCACGGGGGGAACCCTATTGCCGTGTAGTTGCATGTCCAGTCGCTATATATATCACCAGGTTGTGACAGGCGAGTTGTACTGAGCGAAGCATCTGATGACATCATTATGATAATCTGGGACGTCATGGTAGACTCCAGCAGCTAGTTTACGAGGCATGAAGATACGGTGAGATCCCTGTGCTTCTCGTCAGATGGAAAGAGACTCACAAGCAGGTCATTGGATGGAACAGTTCAAGTTATTATATGAGATGCCGCGGCTGTGTCAACTTCGGTTGCAAATGGGCTAAAATTAGCATCTGGAACGTAACCATCCGGGTTTGGAGCCCCGGTAACGCCAAGTTCAGTTCTGTTTGCTCACGACGATTTTCTGGCACGGCATTCGGGATTACTTATACAATTTCGACTTTGCGCATCGCAGTAAGGCGAAGTTGGGCCATTTTAAAGCTCTATCATTTCGGACAGTACGGACTCGGAGGCGTGCCTGCCAGTGCCGAAGTTCAAGTTCAGACGCGAACAAGGTGCGGACGATACCTGTTGTTCAAGTTGTTTTAACATTTGTTATGATGATTGTAGGTCATTAAGCTCAACCTTTCGTCTTATCTGCCCTCCGTGAAATCAGGAGGTACCAGAAATCCACCGAGTTACTTAGTAGTTTAATTGCTCGCACCTTTTCGTAGTCAGCCCCTTGAAGGATCTCGCTCTCGCTCGCCGTCTCCAGGGCGAGCGTTCCTAATCTACCAAATCACTTGACTGAGTGTTCATTTTTATTCATACGTGTTTTGTAGAAGTGGCTTTATTCACCACTCTTGCCTCATTTAAATGTACTTGTATTAGTATAGGATATACATGTAGTGCTATATGTCTCGTTAACGAACAATCATTACTACTATTACATAGACTACTTCATCAACCCCTAAATTCGTTGGCGATTCCAACATTACAGTCACAAGCGTTTGCCGGATTCTGTTTGTGCTCCTTTATACGACATCCTGTTAATACTGTAGTATTTCACTCGATTCGTCTGTCACGTGTCACAAGCCATTCTGCCGGGTCGAAATTTGACGCTTGTCACGAGTCACATCAAGGATTGACGAATTCCTATGAAGTGTCACAGACGGCAGAAAATTCCACTGCTCTCTCTTGCTGTTGTGCAGTCGAAATTAACATGGTCAAAATTAACTTTTGCCGAAAATTTCTGCACTGTCATGTGTCACACCCTCAAATGCCGAAGCGACGAAATGGTGTAGTGTGTCACACGTCACAGGGGTGCCGAAAAATTTCATATTGGTGGTTATCGATTTATTTCCATTGGAAGTGAGCTCAGAGCCTTAAATATTCACCAACGAGAATAAGTGAAAATTCGGAAATCCGAAATTCACCGCAGAAAAAATGGGCACTTGCATCAGGGCAATATTTGTTACAATTCGTCTTAATTTTTACAAACGGTGTGGGAGCAGAACTGAAAGCATAGAATAAACTCGACTGAGAAGGTCACAAAAGGATACGACTACAGAGAACCTAGCTATAGAGTAATATTGTTGTATTAGATAGTACCTCTCAGAGACCGAAAAGGGCGTATTACTAGTTATGTCCTTTTGTGAATTAATATTGCTTACACTTATTTGGCTCATTTGCGAACAACGTTATCTGTGTGTACTGTAAACGTGATTCAGCCACTTCCACTACGCCATATTATGGTACGCAAGGCCAATAATGGTTCCGGCAGACAGAGGGTAGGGTCTTGCTTCTCGAAAGTCACAGGCGGAGTTGGTGGTTCTGGAGGCACGGGGGATTATGCGCAACTGGTGGTGGGTCGATCAGACGAGAGTGATTATGCAAAGGAACAACGGCGCGTCAGAGCCGCGGGCAAAAGGAAAGCGCGTGAGGACCTCGACCCCGAAGATAACCCGTCCCAGCTCACATACGCTCGTCCTTCAAACATGCCGTCTCATATTTCCTTAGGCGCGCCAGTCACACGCAAGACTACCAAGGATCTCACTCCCACGTTCCTGGTAGACGCTAGGGTTCAAGTCAAAAGACCCAACTTCATCCGGTGGTTCCTCGCCACTTTTCCTTACCAAGTAAGGTTTAATCGCATAATCATCGCGCTGAGGCTGATTTTTGTCGTAGTGCAGCACGTGTGTAACCAAAAAAGTGTCCTGCGAGCTCCCGCCTGTGACGGACGGCGCCCAACGCAAATTTAAATGCACTGCTTGCCGTGACGACTGCAATGTGATATGTAGTTGGTTCCAGGATCTCTTGGAGGTGTACATACGTGAGGCATACCAGCTAGATGTTGGAGAGGCGCGTGTATTGGCATCCTCGAAAGGAAACGACCCACAGGGTACTTTAAGAGGCTACTATCAGACTTGGCTTGCAGAACATGCTGAACGCTGTTCTGACGGCGAGTTGCGAGAGGACTTAAAGGCCCTTGAGACTATTATTTCCTTCCAGGGTCCGAAGTTGAGCAGCAGGGTCAGCCCCACACAGCGTGACCCCCTGCAGCCAGCATCCGTACAACGTGCCTCCACACAATTGCATCCACCTGAGCGACAGCATAGGCCGCAAAAGTGGGTCAATTTTGTAACACCTCTCCCACCAGAAGAGCTCCCTCCAGCACAGGCGTTCCCATCATCACCCGCCACCCAGTGCCCCTCGATGCCTTCATCTGTCCAAATTTCTCCAGGTATGTCACAGCTCCCACCCACAATCCCTGACAGGGCCTCCCCAACACCCCTGCCCCCGTTCTGGAGTCTCTCGACACCTACATCTGTTCAAATTTCTCCAGGTGGGTCGCGGCTGCCACCCACAACGCCTGACCGAGCTTCCCTACCCACCCCGCTCTCGACACCTGCGCCTGTCCACATTCCTCCAGGTAGGTCGCTGCCTTTGCCCACAACTCCTAACTGACTCCTGCAGGGTGCCGCAAACCCTTTTCACCTTTGCTGCCCACCTCTCCAGGCCCGCGCGAGCTAACCCCTCTAGCCAGCTCTACCCTAGTTCCTGCGAATTTTTCCCCTCCTATCATTGTGCCCGCAACCATCGCCACATCTGAGACGCATGGCAATACTTCACAAAATAATAGCCCTGCTCAGATGGATGACGTGCATGCCGCATCCCAGCACCGCCCAGGTGATGACCTCACGAATGCCGAACCTCGCAGTGTTAATGTAGGCACTGATGAGGCATGCGATAGGATGGACCCCCGACCACCCTCCGTCGGGCTCAAATCCGAAATGGCTAACTTGTCGGATGGGCTAGCAAAGCTAGCTGTGGGAGATCCATCCTTCCCGCCAGAATTCTCCAATCGTCGGGAGACCGAAGCGTACCTATTGAAAATGCTGCAGGGTTCACTGCAGACGTGCGACTTCCTCGGAAGCGTTGTGGATGAACAAGATTCTAGACACGTTGCTGTCACCAGAAGCCTAGAGGATGAGGTCCGTCTGCTAACGCTAGAAAATGGAGAACTGAAGCAGGGGGTTGCCATGAAATGCCTGGAACAAAAGATCTGCCTATTAGAGGTAGAGAATGATAAACTGCGAGGCAGGCTCGCCCGCCAAGACCAGGAGCTAGAGGATAGGGGGCTGAGGGGGAGAGCAGTCAGAGATCTAGAGCAAAAGGTCCGCCAGCTGGAGGTAGGGGGAGGGAGGTTACAAGGGCAGCTCTCCCAGCGAGAGCAAATAGTTGCTACCATGAAGACTCGCGCGCAGCTCGCAGGCCGTGTGCTATGGCTGGCCTCACAGCGTGCTCCGCTTGCTCCTGGAAACACCCAGGCCCCCGATCCCGTCGCGGACAACCTGAGGGGCTTGGTCTCCATGATTGATGCGCATGTAGACGGTATCCAACCTGCCCTTGCGAACAAGCGACTTGGGGGTTCGAATGAAGATGGTTGAGATCAGATTCTAAGTGAATGAGCCAGACGTAACCTTGAGAGTCGGCCATTGATGTTGCTGGCAAAATACCTGTGAACTCAGCAGTCACACTACAATCAATAATAACCAACTACGTATGTTTTTGCGATTCAGATAGATGTAGGAAGCTGGAAAGGGCTGTGCAGATGTTGTTCACTTAGTAAGTAATACAAAACAGCCAACTAGTAATGCAAATACATCGTAACGGCATAGAAGGATCCGTCCTGCCCCAATTGCAACCTATGTATCTCCATTTTCGCACCCCTGCCTGGACCATTACAATAGACCTTATCGCACGCAATGTATACCATAGGGCCACGTCCAAACAGACAGTAAACAAGGATACGACAAAAGTAATGCAAATTATGGAGGTGTAAACTCAATCTCAACAGCAATATTAATCAGGCCACCACACATGCTCCTCCGTTGTACATCCAGACCTATCCCATGTGACCATCCCACGCTTCTCTTGAAACGTTTGGACAGTCGGACACTCAGAATACCTCTCAACATGATCAACGCACGACAAAGCTGCCGCATGGTATTTTATCCCTTCCTCTCCAGATGTTGTACTTCATTGGTCTGAACACCCGGGGTAGCGGTGCATTTATCACGATTGAATAATTTGTACCCCCACCGTCTGCCTTCTACGGACGACGATCGTCTACTGTAGGGCGTCGCCCCAGGGACAATGATGCACAAAAATACACAAATGTAGCTAAACTCTGGTATAATAGTACTCTAGCCACCATGGAGTCCTTTTTGCTCCAGGAGTGCAGTAGGTCATAACCATACTCCTGGTGACAATGACACCCAAATTACGGTAATAGAGGTGCCTCCAAAACGTCATTCAACTATAATCCAATGCGTCCATTTCCGCATAATTCTCTATTTTGAGATAAACAAGGCCCAGGAAAAGGCGTTCTCAGCTTCCATCATCCTCAGTCGTCTTCGCACCCTCATAAAATTAATTTGGGACGAAGTTACTGGTGACACCACGTGAAGCTGGTGACATCGATCTAACTTGAGTAATAGCTATAAATTATAGCTGAATGACCGAGCAACAAGCTGACAACGATATTCGGTCCAATCCACTAACCTGCCACGATATTGACGCTCGGGGGAGCAGTCATCATGCGTTATTTAATTTGCTTTTGGGTTAGTTAGACTGGTTGCTTTTTGAATTGAGATTTGTTTTTGGGGTAATGCGTGGTGGCTATGTAAGGACAGGACTATGACTCGACAGTCCTTACAAGATACGTGGTGCGAGGCAGGAATATAACGGCGAATTAATCTAAGGTGTGATGTTGAAGGCTCTTCATTTCAGTGTGCAACTTGGAGCGAGCGTGGCTACAATGCTCAGCCAGTATCTGGCGACACATTTGTTGTAATTTGTGGCTTTATAAATCTACCGGCACGCACCGTTCCACATGCGTGACAATTCTGGACCTCCCATTACAACCAACATGATGGCATATAGCTGCACAGGCATTAACGCTCCTCCTTTGGTTTGCCTTTACTGGAAAACGCTACACCTATGGGTTTGTGATGGTGTATGTACTAGTCTTTTACAAAAAGCACCTAAGTACCTAGGATCTCTCCATCAGTTGCTTTCCTCTTGAACAGCAGCCCTCTATCACCCTGTAGCTCCGTCAGTTTGGAAAAAAAGCTGAGCCCCCACCGCCACCTCTCACCGTCCTCTCTATCAAGCTTTTGTTTGAGATGGGGGTCCCGGACACGAAGCTCTGCCAAGCTACGGAATCCATAGCGGACCCACCTTATGAGGCCACCAGAGAAATATTGCGTGAAGGAAAGCCGCGTCTCGCTCGGTTGTACAGCAGTATTACCATGCCGGAGAATTGCGGAGGGAATCTGGGCGGTTGAACCAGATGGGAACTCAACTGCAACCTTCAAATCAAAAAATATAAGGTGACCGCCTGCCTTTGGATCAAAAGAGCCAAGGGCATGGATGTCACAAAGGCCGTAGGCGATGTTGCGAGGGTCCGTGTGCTCAAAGGTGGCGACTTGGGGTCCGAAATTGAATGTGGCAGCCGGAAAGATACTGTTGGTGAAGTTCATGTTCAGATGGGAGTGCCGTTCAACAAGTGCCTGTATGTTGTGGGAGAAATGGCGGTACAGCTTAGGTGCATAGAACGCGAGAGCACCTAATGAAACATCAGTAGTAGCTAACTGGCTGGTGACAGGGCTCACTGCTTCCAAAACCCGCCAGGCGCTTGATAGAGGGATCTCTCAACAGCCTGTCTAACTCGGCGCGATTCTCCTTCCCATGAGCTAAATTGGATGGTATCTGTTGACCTCCACCGTAAGAGATGCCGGTAGATAGGGCATGATACCTGCCACGACGGTGGGTAAGGCCTGATTGGCTGAAGGCGCAGCGTTGTTGTGCCTCCACCATGGCTTTTGCAGCTGCGTCATTGACGTCATCCCAGTCCTTGCTAGCCGGCCGGCCAGCAAGCACGGCCACTATCCGACCCTCTCCATCAAGTATCGCATGAGGGGTTCTTGAATTGGAGGTGGGTCAGGCTGGTTGAGGTGGACGAACGGGCCTTTTGACTCACACTCCATCCCAGGGAAAAATTCTATACCCATCTGTCTGAAGCTCTTGCAGAGTCCACACCTTGCGACCATGCGGAATTGACTTGCCCACATACGCACCGCGAGCTGCGGGGAGGTCCTCAGTCTTCAGCTCTGTGGCAAGATGGGCAGGGGCTGGGTGACGAACGGACAGGGATGACCTGATAGTGTAGTCAGTAGCCTTCTTCTCCTGACGATCGTTGCGGCGGCGCTTGCGTTTGCCAGCCTTGCTGTTATTTGACCCACGAGACCCCCTATTTTTCGAGAAGCATCTATCAGGCATCAGGCCTCTGGGGCTTGATAAAGGATCATGCTGAGTAATGGGAGGTTGGGAGGTATTAAAGGTTGAGTGACTAGTGAGCTCTTGAGCATGGCCCTCGTTGTCATCATCCTCATGGGTAGATTCCTGGTGTGCAGATATCCCCATCAGCATAGGCAGAAGCTCAAGGCCTGTCTGGATGGTGATGATATCATATGGTGAGAAGCAGTGCCCAGAGCGCGTCTAGCGTAATTTCAGCCGCGCTACAGATTGTGAAGATGATCCTTACCTGGCTTGAAGGCATTGCAGGATTTGGCCTGGAAAGAAGGTGTGAGCGTGAGTACATAGTTGATGCTGAGTAGGAGGAAGGCCGGTAAGGGAAGACCGTGACGTGCAGGCTGCTTACCTAGTCCAATAGCCCGAGGTCAGCTATACACCGAATGGAATGAAAGGTTGGGGTGGTTTGGGTTCGACTTGAAGTGGGTTGGGCAAAAAATACCTCGCCCTTTCGTAATTTACCTATACGGACCTAGTGCAGGTGCCGGGTAATGTAGCTTGTCGGAATATCCCGGCACCAGGCGTCCAGCTGAGCGGTGGCCCAGTAGGCATTGAGGACTTTTCTGAGCAGGTTGAGCTGATGTAGCTGTTGATGATTAAGTTGGAGCTAACCGGTGGAGGCAAGCCTCACACCGGGGCATTCATGAATCTAGAGGTGCGGGGGGCACAGGGGCCCCCACGGCTAGATAGTACTGTCTTACATAGAGTTACACTCTCAAAGACAAAAATTTGGACTTAAAAAAATAAAAAAATAAAAAGTTGGAGCTAAGTGCCGGACTCATCAGAACCTGGTAAATGAGTATGTGCGTAAATTTGTAAATTTCGGGGCAGCGGGCTGCCGCCTGCCGCAGGTAATACTACTAGTATCCTTGGCAAGGTGAATTTCGTCGTTTAAATCGAAACATGAACTCGGGGTGTCACAACCATTTCGTCACTCAGGCCGCCGCCGCCACTGGCACCGTCCAGCATCAGCTTCCGGGGTATAGAGTAGGAGCACGACGTGGATAAAAATTGTCAATATTTGTTTGACTTTAAGTATCGGTCTTTGAATTTTGAATTTTATATTTAGCCAAGTGAAAGTCATGTAAAAAATTTCTCCAAGTTTACATGGGAGGGTTTTCCTGATGGAAATTCCACCTCGCTACGCACATCGAGATTTTCCAGACCGATGTAGTTCTAACGCAATTAGACTTCTGGCGTAAAGGTCAAGCCCCCAAGCGTGGCTGGGCCACTACGAATCGTGTTGCCAGCACTGAGCAGCCCAAGGTAGATGTGTCCGGACGTACGGTTCGAATTGGAAGAAGGTGACGGTCCTTGGTGAGTACAGGTGTTTTTCATTTGAACAAATAGCTCACAAGATCTGGTGACCAGGCAAATCACCGCTGAGAAATCAATGACGTTATTGCAAGCGGGAAAGAGCATCATCATGCCCTCGATGACTGTCAGAACTCTATCACAGAGTTGGAAGTTTTCTATATCTATATGATCAACGCAAATCTCACAGGTGAATGAGGCTGGTCTACTCTCAACCATCATTGCCACTTCCGTCATCAGCGACCCGGCAGACACTGCTAACGCCCTCTTGAGGCAGCTTATAGAAATCACACGGGCTGTTAATAGACAAAGTGCCGCACATAATAATGTAAAGTTTGGCAAAGCCCTTTTTGCAGTGACTATTGTCATCAATGATTCCTTACAAGCACATGGTAAGCTTTCACAGATGTTACTTTTCGGCCAAACGATGAGCTCGGGACGCGTGTTACTTGCTTTGGACCAAGGAGGAGACTCGAACGTTCGCTACTGGTGGTTACTATGTCTATTACTGTGGCCCGGGCCCTTTGGATGGATCTGAGCTGAATCCGGCGCACCCACCTGCTCATGTCATTCTGATGTATTAGAACTGACCTTATCACTGGAATAGTGATACATAGAACTCGATAAACTACAGCCTAGGTACCACTGCCAATGATACATCACATCCCACTCGGCTTGATATATCACACCTGAGTTTCCGTGGACCTTGTAATACGTCACATCCCACTCGCGATGATACATCAGCATTGGGGCAGTCATCACATTGGTAGTAATACATCATTATATAATATCATCAGGCCCTCCATGGTCAGTAATACACCAGACGTCTCCGCAGTGTTCTCTTCATCATCTGGAAGGAGCTGAGACTCTACAATTGAGGGAACAGCTACCCAAAGCTCTTGAACATGTTTGACCATTGCGAGCCGGATATGACGGCTGCGGTTCCACGATCTTTCCCCCATTTCGCCCCGTCCTTCACGTGCTCGTGCTTTGCACCACTCAATTCGTAGACCTGGAACACAGTGAGATAATGCCAGATCGCAATATAGGCCACATACAATCTTGAAGGCCGGCGTCATCATTGTGCAAGGCACCCGGCGCCTTCCAGATCCACGAGATGTCTCTCGCGCCCTCGGACTGACCAGGTCCAATATCACCTAATGGACGCAGGTCCGCAACATGTAGAACACGTAATTTCCCCTCCCAAGCGACCTTACCCAGAATTGGACCGAGAACAATCAGCGCAGCACGAGCAGTGTCGTATCTGAGCTTGCTTGCCATTTTCTTCACATCTGCAAGGTCTAACATGCTGCGAGCACGTGTTGATGCTCGTTGTCCACGAATGTGAGTCCGTTTGAACGTCTTGAGATGAGATGGGAGGCGAATGCTCTAACGCACTTCATTTAAGGCATCGTGTGCTTGGGCAAAGCGGAGTTCCCATTCGAGCTCTTGCAGCTTGCGGTCGCAGGAATATTCTGTACCTAGCGAGGAAGGGAGCCAGAGCAGTAAATTTTCTGGTTTGTCTGCATCGTTACTTGCCCCTCGCGTGAGCTCTGGTGCTGAGCGAAGTAAGGCAACTGCAGGCATGTATGGTGTCTGGATTGTCGTCCACGACTCGATCTTGCGTAGTAGTGCATTACTTCGTGTGCAAATGTTGGCTTTCTGGGTTTCAGTGGCGTGAACTCCAAGTGTAGTGGCGTCCGCGCATAGACGACGCCTAAAGCAGGAGTAAGCTTATGAGAGGGTCTCACAAATTGTGGACATACCGTGGAAACCAACTTACCCCGCATATGAAACTGATGTTGTTTGCAGCAACTGCTGCAGCAAAAGGACTTAAGAAAGATTGTGGCATAGAGTCGATGAACGATATCAATAATGAGAAGGACACTACTGTGGGCGTTGAATTGAATCATCATATGATGAACACGGAGAATCCCGTCGTGGCAAATTGGCAATGTCCGACTCATCCAAGGTCACTGCCACCACTCTTCTTCCGCCCCTTGATCAGTCAGACGAACTCAATATTCTCGCCGATGCCTTCTTAGCATCACCTGAATATTCCCAATTACATTTCGGTAGCCTACAACCTCAGCTGCCTCTAACTTCACCGCTTTCATCTTCCAATCCATATTCCTCCATCAATCCATATGATGACTTTTCTTGGATCCCGTCAGCATCGCAGCCACCGGCAGAAACCTCTGGACGGTGCAAGGCATACGCAGATGGGCTCATTCTACCCCAGCCTCTGCCTCAGATATATCCTTCTCCACCACCATTCACGTGTGCTCCCACGCCCTCCACCATCACACTCGAGTCAACTCTATCGCAATCTATTCTGTCCGCTGAGCCAAATCCGCCTCCACCTTCGAGAAACTACGACACATCGAGGTATGTTTGTTAATTTCTGTGACTCGGATCATTCATATTGACTTTGTACAATCTAGGCAGGTACCCCGATCCCACGCACCGTCTGTCCCAATGAGGGATGCAAGGACAACGGTCCTGCCCACCCGTCTGGTGCACTGATGTACTTCTTGATCTGTTTCATCGACTGGATTGCTCACTGTCAAGACCGAATGGTGAGGTCGGCCGTCTCACCCTCAAACTAGAAATAATGATTGGGCACATATTTTCCACTTCTTGACGCCGGTCCATACTCGAGTTCTGCCAGAACTCAGACGTATCCTCTGCAGCCACAAAGAGAAGGAAAAGTGTCTGGTATACAAAACGCTCCTCGCTGACCTTCTTGAACAAGGCCATGGGGTTGACATTTCAAAACGCCTTCAATACCTTTCAAAACTTCATCCTTTCAATGTGGGTAGCGCGATCATGAAGAAAGCCCGTCCTGAATAGTGCGTCACATAATCGGTTCCACAACTCTCACTTCGCACCTATGATCAACAGCTATGGACCAAAGGGCGCTGCAGTATTCCAGGCTACTCTCAATAAACTCTGTAATCCACAAACAGTCGCTATCAACCCTGATATCTTCGCTCCCATGACACTAGATCGGTTTAATGGATATGTACTCATTCCGCAGTGACTATCGGCTGCTGCCTTATTGCCGAGGATCGCAAATGCAACATGGATGAAGCATTCAAGATCATGGTTGCCAGCAGCGATTCTGGAGAGCTGCTGCAGTCCGTCAGCAGTGACACTGGACAAGACGAGAGATTCGACGACCTGCTTATGACAATCATGCGAAAGGATATCAAGGTTCGTTTTATCTTTTCCGAGTCACTACTCTACTGACTTGCACAAACCAAGAGGATATTCGGGTTCGCAAGTCGAGAGAAGTGCGGCGCATGATCCCATACTTTGTTCACCTGACTAACTATTTTTGAACTAACTAGTTTCACAGCCTCGTTTAGATGGCCATATCAATGCACCGGCTCATCGACGCCAAGGCACTCGACTGGTAAAATTATCTTGATCCTGGAATGGTTTTGATACTAATTTTCATCAGGGAAACGTAATTCATTACAGAGCGCTACAGAGCGCTATAGAGCACTCTATAGCATTCTGTAGCACAATCCAACCCGTTGATGTCAGCCATCACGGCGTTAACAAGAAGCGGGTATAACAACCTTTTCTCCTCCTCCTCGAAGCTCAGTTTGCATGCTGGAACGGGCACGGACTGCAATGGAACCAAGGCCAGACCTCTATGGCGGGAGGCTACGGCTCTGTCTATCGAGGACGGACTACGACGCGCGCGAGGACTACACCGACTACGAGCCAGGACCCCTGCCACTCCCGAATTGTCTCGCCAGAGCGCCCCGCTCTAATGCTTCTTTTACATAATTGACTGCAGTATATCGTTCAAACACTCTGGTTTAATTAGCTCTTCATATCGTTATATCCAATGCATTTTTTCAGCGCTTTTGACATGATTTTAACTTATTAAGAGTATCGGTTCAGCACAACATCAGAGTCCATGGAGCGGAATTTCAGCAATGATTCAGAGTACAATTGCAGAGCAACATCAAGTTAATCTTCAGCACGACATGCAGTGAAATTTCAGAGTAAAATTCGGAACTTTCAACACCTCTTTTTCAGCTCATAGTGCTATGATTCTAACTGCATTTGGTGCTGATTTTGCCTAATGATTTTTATTAGAACCAACATCTTTTTGAAGCTGCGTATAAACCACCGCCACCACAAGTGTGTATCTTAGACTCGTGACCAGTCTGTCTAATGAGGCAAGGGTAACGAGTCTATGTGTGTCTTTGATCCGGCTGATGTGCCCAAAATCCTGCTCTTCCACTTACAGATTTAGTTCAGGGGCTTCATAGTAAGTCAACTATCGAACTGCTTTCAGATCGTCACGGCATACGTGGCCTATATACCTTCGAAGTGACATCGTCGATAGACCGCCGCACACGTCAGAAGACTTGCAACGGTCTCACCATTCACGTTTACTATCAAGCGAGTTTCTTGCAGTATACTTGTCCGAGTACAGCGTATGATATTTTGCTCTGTTACCTACCTTCATCTCAACATTGCGACCAATCGGATGGGGAATATATCCTGCAAATTCTGTCACTCGAATACCGATCTGCTGTGGTGGACCGACTTGGACATCAAATGCTTTCTCAGCACGACCAGCAAAAAATGGCTCCAGTTATGCTTAGTGCGACTAGTATCCTCTGGACTGTAGCTAGCTGCTGAGACATACCTATCGAACCTCGTTGTTCCTTCGTTGAGCCGTTGCTGTAGATGGATCTGAACCAAAGGTTCGCTCCGTAGGTGAGTCCTGTGTGATACTTCCAAATCCGTTCTTGATCAACTCAGAGGCTGAGGTAACGATGGTGCTCATTTGGGTGTATGGTGGTGTCATCATTGTGCTCATTGTTGTCGCCGTGGTCGTGGTCGTGGTGGCTTAACCATGGGCATTTACCTGGGTCTGACTGGAGCCTCAGCCCGAGGGCCCCGCGGCCTAGTGCTGCCGCAGTCTGATTCCACGAGGGCATGTAGGAAATGGCCGGTCTGTGTTAAGTCTGCGCAGACTCCGCCCCAAAGTCTGTCTGGGCAGAGTCTGGGGGACATGTCTGGGTTGTGTTTTGTCGGCAAGTTCCGGGTTGCCTGTTCTGACATCATTCATCAGCACTCCCGCCACGATCGTAGTACGTGAGCCACTGTGACACTAATCCCATCAGCTACCACTGGCAGTGGCTAGCCACCCCTGCCATCTACATCAACCACCCCCGTCAGCACTTCACCCACCCCTGTGTCACGCATCAGTAGGTGCAATCAACGACGAGTGCGATTGATGACATTCCGCAGGATGGCACCTGGAATACGAGCTGCAGTCGATGATATGTTGTCTGTGGGCGCGGCGGGCAACGTGAAATGGCGGGAGAGGCTGAGGCGGGATGGCGGGGGACTGAGTCCGACTGACGCTAAATTATGAAATAATACGGCGGGCAGACAAACATAGGCTTCCCGGCACTTTCCGGACAACCGCTGGCAGACCTGTCCCCCAGACTTTAACACGGAGTCTGTGACCTGTCTGTATAGACCTGACGCAGACTGGCCAAATCCCGCACTTTCTGGATTCCACGAAAATATCAAACCCAGAACCGGACCGTTCAGAACAGTTGGATTCGGTTTTTTTTTCGCAATTTGAACGACCGAACCCCAAAAAATTCCAGTGAAGCAATTGCGGATGTTTCTATTTTTTATCACTGACTGAGTGACTTCCCGTTAGCAAAATCATGTGTCGTGTCCCGAACTTTGAAAAACATTTCCTAGATTACGCAATAAGATGTTTTATACGAAAAACCAGACCGCAGGCCAACGGAATATCATGGGTGATGGTTTATATCAGTATTTCAACCATTGCAGACTGAGATAGACATGAAAGTAATCGAAGAACGAAGAATTCCCATTCATCGTCAGCACATCTGCAGGTGTTGCCTCCATGTGCCATGCTGGGTTGTCGCCAGATCATCAGATGCTCGCGTTGAATTGCCTTTTGGGTCAACGACCCACATTGAATGCAGTTGAAATGTTCATAATGCATATGGAAGCATAAATTTGAACATCCTAAGACCGCCAGTCAAGTTCGAGTTGAAAATCCAGTATAAGTGGCAGCGATGCTCGATGTGGGAAGTCGGTGAAGCTAAGTACAAAATCGATGAGGAGCTACGAATAACAAGGCTGCGCGAATATTGTATACACTGCCCCACTTCTTTAATACACTACGCCAGCAATGCCTATCCCTATGTTGTATTGTAAAGCGTGTAATGAAATGTGTTAGGCTATGGAGCCTGCTTTCTGCGCTTAGCTTGTGACTTTTTGTCGCTCCCCTCAGCACTTCCAGAAATTTCACCCACAGAGCGCTTGCCTTTGATGGGGGGTGAAGTACCTTGTACTAGGCTGCAGAGATGCTCGACCCACCAGCGACCTTCACGGTCAGCACGGGATGATATTGTCGGCAGGAGCGTGAGCAAAAAGTCCTTCACGTCGGTAGTGGTGACCTTGTATTGGCCACCGGGGGAAGGGGCTGCATCGGCGACCAACATGCCACTGGGAGGATTTAGCTGACCAGATATCAAACGTCGCGCTGCCTGCGAGCAGACGTCCATCTTAGCGACGTTGCGGCTAAGGTTAGCTATCGTCCTTTGCTGGTCTGCTATGATCTTGTCCCGTTCAGCGATGGTCTTGTGCTGATCCGCTATGGTCTTGTCCCCATCCAAGGTGTGGGTAAGACGTAACGCTTTTTCTGCCTCTAACTCTGACTTCACTTGCTGTAACTCCGCTTCCAGCGTAAAGATTTTCTCCTGCAGAGATTTGTTGGTAGAAGAGGTCGAACCCAGCACGGATTTGAGAAATTGATCCAGGCCTTGTGCTGCTTCGCCCGGAAGGTCGGAAAGGTGGGGAAGGACGGGCCGTCTGGTGCTGAGAATGTCAGTAGCTGGCGATACCTCTGCATGTGTGCTATCGACCTGAGCATCCGCAAGTGCGTGGGTAGTATTCGGGAGCCTACCGCCCACATTGTAATGAGAAACGGCGCGCTCAGTGTTCACCCGACTGCTGGTAGCCGTTATGGAACTGTCGCGTACCTGCAATCGCAAAGGGCCTGCAGATGCGGTAGGCGTTGCGGGAAGGAGAGGGCCTGTAGTCGAGAGGGGTGGGGTCAACCGATCCGAGCTAGCGACATCGGAGGAGTTTCTGTGCATATGCGATGGCAGAGGGCCTGCAGATGCAGCAGAGCCTGTGTGTCGGTGAGGGGTGGCTAGGTCATTACGGGTATGGGATGAGCCCTTAAGCTTAGGTCTGGTAGATGCTGGTGTGGATGGCGGCGGCGGAGGGGGGGTAGGACTTGTGCCGATGAGTTTGCTCCTGGTGACACGTCCGGGTCCCATATTACGCTGAACTTTCCTCAGGGATAATCGAACGTTGTCATCCAATATATGTGTGGCGGGATCCGTACGCCACACCTGGTAGTAAGCGGCCAAAGTGGCCTGGGGATCATCATCTGTCGACGATGCTAAAACACGCGCCTCTCCGACGTCTAGTTGGTAGGCCTCGCGTAAATAAGCCTGCCTCAGGTCCTGGGACCAGCTACAATCCATAACACGACCCTTCCCGCATGGAATGCATCGCAATTCACGTTGAGAAGAATTTTCAGAAATAGGGTATCTGCATTTAATATCTTTTTGTGCACACTGGGTACACTGTAAAGGGTTAGCGTTAGAATGGCATTTGTGAGAACATCCTACCCCTTCTGCGATGTCACAATACCAACGCACAAAGCTAACGTCTGTAGTGCACGCCATGACGGCTTTCATAAAACCAGGGGCGATGTCCTGAGCAGTGTAGCGCACCTGAAGCGGTGCGCCTAGTGGAATGTGCGAGGGCATATCTTCAGGGCGGCCGTAGGTAGGCACATCATCGATTGAACCGTCACCAAGCCCCTCTTCATCTACTTCCTCGTCATCAGAAATAATGAGCACCACCTTCTTCTTCCGCCTAAGGCCCTTACTCTCCTGTGAGCCATCGTCCAACTGCTCGCTACCTTGTAGCTCTGCTCCTTGCCTTACGTGCGAAGGTCCATCCTGGGATGAAGATGCGTGGCGGGTTGACTTAGCCATTAGAACGTTGTGAAAGATTGGGCTCGGTGGGGCAGCAGCCGTACTATCATGAGTATGGTGTGACTTAGCATGGTCTTGGTAATCATACCAAGTCAATTCCAAACTCCGCTCACGAGCAGTCAGTGGTACTCGGAGTTTAAATTGTTGGCACTTCAGCGGCTTTATTATTTGCGCGTCGCACACAATCGAGAGCTGCAAAGTGCATTTTTGTCCTCCACATTCACAAGGACGAGCCCGGAGGTGGATTCATGTCAAACCTCAAAGGACAATAGATGTGAAAAAAAACCATGTGGCAGATCTAGAAGTCGTACGTCATAACAAAGGGTCAAACAAAAGTCAAATATATACACACCGAATAACGCTAGTGAACACCTGGCACCGTGTCAAGATTCCAGAAACGCGCCGTATGATCCCAGGATGTACTACTAGCAAGGAGGCAGTCGTTGGGAAATAAATTGAGGGAGTAGACAGCATTTACATGACCCTCCAGGACGGCGATCTGCTGCCATGTGGTAGTGTCAAATACCCTAATCCAGTTGTCAACCCCAAACCCGGCAATAAGCTTCTTTTCATCCGATGTCCAGGTTAAGCTCCAAACTGCCTGTTAAGCAGTAACTTAAATGTGGAGAAGAATGTTTGCCAATGAGGTATTCATTTTTTTTGGCCATGCTCTCTCAGGATTGTGCTCATACTTGTGTAGGTGCGGAAGAAAGTGCAAATTGTTAGCACTATACTTCATCGTGGAGCCTACTGAGACATCAATGCATTCTCTTATCCTTGCGATCAGTGTCCTCGGTGTCTTCATATATATTTCTCTAGCGGATTCTTTCCCCGCGGGACGTTGACGTGAAAAACTCCATACCTTGCCAACCTGTTTTTGGTATCATGATAATTCTTCTTTCACGAAACAAAGCCTGCCGACGTGCGGTGCGTGGCGATTTGTGAAGTACCGAATTCTTGCCGTTGCTCGCCCTTAGCGTTCTTGGTCTAGATTCTCGACGTCGTTTTTCCCACTCCTCTATCAGCATACATAACTAATCTGGGAACAGGTATAATCAATCTAATAGTCCGAGTGACGAGCCTTATAGCATCAGCCCTTTCCAGCTCCTCCATCTAGGGGAAATGCTCTCCGGGGATGTGTTCTTGTCCAACTAGTGCCGTGGCTGGACGCGAGGCCGCCCCTTCCGACCTCAGGGCTGCCACAACGAGCGATTAAGTCAGAATATATTGGTCTCTCGTGTCGTGTGCACTGTGCTGATATCATGAATCGAGACTCGGACATGACTAGCACGCCTTCCGTAATTCATTGCGAATCGGTTCGGTACCGTTCAATAGAAACTTGCCGGTTCCTGGGACTAGGTATGTGGCATGACCACATCGCTGCTGTGAATTGGGGCCCAATTGGAGTAAATACGGTAGAATGCGTGTAAGGGTGATTGGAGTGCTCGGCGACCCTACGGCCGGCAGTTGCGCACTCACTTTGAAAGATAAAAAGGCTGCCTAGCGGCCTCTCGATATTCTCTTGCATTTCACGACGCATGTTACTAAAGGAAGGAACGCGATCCCCACGCGACATAGGATGATGTACGAATTTTCTTTACATAAGAAGCTCACAGCTAATGACCAGACGTCAAGTCAATAGCATAATCATCTACCGCGACTACTACTAAAAAGCTCCTACTCATCCCCAGCATTCCGCGCCGGAGATGTGTCACAACGTTCCGAGTCGTCGGTGCTCTGATGTTGACCGATCCCCGCATTGACCTGCTTCTTTTCATAGATCATTGATGGTCGATTCCACACCGAATGTAGCCACTTCATTGCCGTGTCGACAAAGTTCCAGGACCGCCTGCCATCAAATAGTCTCTTCAGTTCAAGACATGTCCATCCTACAGGTGTGCTAATACTAGACTGTTCCCCATTTGCAACGTATTGACTTGTTCAAAGCATGCAGGTCACAATCTTGCACACAGCTAATGGCTCTGCCCACCAAGAATCCCATTCACATAAGTCCTTCACAATGCGGCGGCTGTGTCTTAAAGATCAGAGATGAAGTAATGCCAATGGTCCGAGTTTCTGGGATGCGATGGTGGGTTACAGCTCAGTTCCTGACATAGATATACCACAAAACCGCTGCCTTAATGCTGACGGCGCTGGGGACGCAGCGCGTATTTAACTTACTAATTGCTGGAAGGTCAATATTTTGCGATAATGTCATCATGCTTTTCGTGATTTCGTGATATAATAACTACGTGTCCCACGGTAACGCCACTAGTGAGATCATGATCATGCCAAACTCGTCACAATTGACGTTGTTGTTCTCGGTATGCCCATCCACCGCAGACTATTCCTTGTACTTTTTTTCTGGTCCAAGTCTGGCCGCATACAATGACCATCGAACATCTATAGAAGGCACACGGGAAGATCCAGACCAACTATATAGTTTGATACCTAAGAGCCGACTCTCCCGGGCTCGTTCTGTCCATCGCTTATTTTGTGCATGTGTTCTGTGACTCGTTCACAGTTAAAACTTTACGCCTATATATGGCTTGGAGACCTCCTGATAATCTGAGATTTTACATACAGGAAACGCGCCTCGTGTCCATTACATAGTTGGAACTCATCTCAGCCCAGCGTTGACGCCGTTTTACATGCTCTTCCCCGCTGATACAGGAAACTAAGAGTAATCCGTCCACTTCGGCTCGCACTTTTCAACCAATATCGTCAAGACCGTACGAATTCTCATGCTAACGCTTTTCCGGGTCTAAAATTGATTTTAGGGACAGAGAATTTTGTTCCGTGCGTGTCGCTCGGTAAAGAAGACGAGGATAAAGAAACGGGCGAACGCTTCACGGTGCCTTGCCCATCTTTCCATCTATCAAGTTCCGTCTATCAGTCTGGCCCAGGCTGATGGCCTCAAGCGGTAATAGTCATAAGCTTGACTTTCTGCCATTCTAATTGTACTCGAAGATAGTTCACATGGACAGATCTTCCGTCGCTGGAAACCGTGCGACGAGCCGTGCATCCCCTCTACCCTGAGACAAAAGCTTGATCTTTTGCTTTTAACGCAGATATCTGGATCACACCATCTTCAAATGTATAACATGGTCCCAACTAGTGGACCATGACGATGAGCGGTATTGTCGGAATGCCATGAGCATCCTCATTCAGCCCCCTTGGTCCTCTCTGGCCGTGATCTTGACCTATTTTGCAAACGTCAATCGGTATGGGCGACTAACGATATCGAAGCATTTGCTGCTAACATAATGACGTCACCAGATCTTCGGGTCATCCTCGACCCGGTGGCACGAGCGTCCTACTACAGCCCATGAAAGGCTATGGTACAAGGTGAGCCGCCGCCGGTTCATCCCAATGAGTCACGTACTCACGCCACCCACCAGCTATGGGGTTGATGCCCATGGTTTGTCGTAAGCACTTACTTACACCCGTTGAGTCTTTGGAGTATTCTTGAACGGTAAGTTGGATTTAGTCGCCTACCTGTGTTTTCCGCTCAGGCTAAGCCTCAGCATTCCAGGTGGGCTGCAGCGTTTGTTTCCCCAGTGTATAGCTATGACCCTCACGACCCATCTGCTTTACAACTCCTGCTATTCTGGCTTTGTTCAGCAATGGGGCTTCCTGGAGATTGGGTGTCTGAGCAGTTCGAATTCTTAGTCATCATCCTCAGCTTCCGATCTCGCCGTCACTGATAGGTCGACGCTTACCCTCTGGGATGGAGATGGCTAGATCCACGTCGTTCGATTCTATTTGATTGAAGCAGGTTGCGCATGCGCGCTTACTATCATTGCAGGTCTACCGATCTGTTGTTTTCCTTCCAGTTTGAAAAGGTTACGCCAAGTGCTTCGTTTTCATCTCAGCCCAGCCACGATGACAACTATCCTCTAGTAGTTAAAAACAGCCAACACCTAAAGGATTTTGAGAGATCTGGTGATCGTAATTCGATGTAACACATACCAAAGATGGATGAGTGGTAAATCACTATCGGTTAGATGTCTCCCACAAACAGACTTCGCGTCAACGCTACGCCAGAAATTCTTTTGCGAGGCCGTGAGGTAGCTGTAGTCATTCTAGCTAAGATCCAAGCGGCCTATCTTTTTTTGCTGATTCTGGAATGGCCTCTTCCGGCTGCTCAGCAACGTGCAACGGTGTCTTGGCGGGCGTGTTACCCCGTATGATGAAATTGGTGTTCTGCTACTTGTGCCTACGGGAGGGCGGGTGCTGATTGCGATAAAGAAGACCGAGAGGCGGCAATTGACAAAGGGCTGACCGTTCAGGGGAGGAACGCAGCAATTCGACGCCCCTAGGTCGATCGTACAACTCCTTTGCGACCGTAAATAGACGGGAGGCGGGCACAGATGCTCGCCGTTGTGGTGGTGGTGATGATGAAGTTCCCCGCCCAAGCGCGGACGCTTGGGTGAGAATTAGGCAGCAGGCGAGCGCAAGCACTCGCCGTTGTGAGGCTATGGTAATGGCAATTTCCACACAGGCGTGGACACTTGGGCGCTTGGGTAGGAGGGTTGGGTGGCAGGCGAGCGCAGGCGCTTGCCGTTGCGGGGCGATGGCGATGGCAATTTCGACCCAAGCGTGAACGCTTGAGTAAAGGAGTTTGATGGCAGGCGAGCGCAGGCGCTTGCCGTTGTGGGGCGATGGCGATGGCAATTTCGACCCAAGCGTGAACGCTTGAGTAAAGGAGTTTGACGGCGGGCGAGCGCAGGCGCTTGCCATTGTGGGGCGATGGCGATGGCAATTTCGACCCAAGCGTGAACGCTTGGGTAAAGGGGTTTGATGGCAGGCGAGCGCAGGCGCTTGCCGTTGTGGGGCGATGGCGATGGCGATGGCAATTTCGACCCAAGCGTGAACGCTTGAGTAAAGGAGTTTGATGGCAGGCGAGCGCAGGCGCTTGCCGTTGTGGGGCGATGGCGATGGCAATTTCGACCCAAGCGTGAACGCTTGAGTAAAGGAGTTTGACGGCGGGCGAGCGCAGGCGCTTGCCATTGTGGGGCGATGGCGATGGCAATTTCGACCCAAGCGTGAACGCTTGGGTAAAGGGGTTTGATGGCAGGCGAGCGCAGGCGCTTGCCGTTGTGGGGCGATGGCGATGGCGATGGCAATTTCGACCCAAGCGTGAACGCTTGAGTAAAGGAGTTTGATGGCAGGCGAGCGCAGGCGCTTACCGTTGTGGGGCGATGGTGATGGCAATTTCGACTCAAGCGTGAACGCTTGGGTGAGAGAATTTGGCGGCAGGGAAGCGCAGGCGCCTGCCATTGTAGGGCGATGGTGATGGCAATTTCCACCCAAGCGTGAACGCTTGGATGAAGAAATTTACCAGCAGGCAAGCGCAGGCGCTCGCTGTTTTGAGACGACGGTGATGGCGATTCACACCCGAGCGTAGACGCCTGGGCGGGAGAATCAGGCAGCAAGCAAGCGTTAACGCTGGCACTCGCAATCCCGTTCCAAAGCGTTGACGCTATGGTGTAGAGGGTAAGCACTCGCACCTACTGGGCAAGCATATGGATTTTTTGTTCTGGTAGACATCGACGGGCAAAAAGGAGATGCAGCATGGGGCCTGGTTAGACCCGGTGCGCCATGGTGTACGTATGCTGAGTGGCAAGGGAAGGTTTCGCACTGCCTTACATCAGCATTCTCAAAAGGGAAGAGGCGCAGGATGACTCATCACACTGCACCCAGCATCCACGTGATTCTTTTCTCATTATGAGTCGTAGGTGCCCGTTCCGATGTAGATCGGCTCCCCAAAGTTTCCGAAAACAAGGTACGTGCAAGGTGACGTTCTTTAGTCATCCATGGACCCCAGCAACGTCTTATCTTCCATATCGTCCTCCCCTCATCACATACGCTAGCCAGGTTTCCTCGAGGCTTGTTGTTCTCGTCGCTGATCCCGTTTTTCTCGACGATCGCAAGCGTTCAGTCTCGCCGGACTCTGAGGATGTCGAAGACGGGCTTGAAGAGTTTTGCAAGAGCTTTATCGGTGAAATGGACCTACCTGAAAGTGAGTGGCTTAATTTCATTTGTGACTTCATCTTCAACTTAACTTTGTCTTAACAATTCACCAGGTGGACCGACCGTCTTAATAACAACGAACGTCGCTTTGTTCCACCTTCTCATCGACACTATTCTGCCCAGTACACGGATAGCTTCTTGGATTCTTTCGTGTCCGTCTTCTGGCTCAAGAGGCGCGGTCTCATACACCTGGTCTTACGTTCTCCAACGCGCCCATCAGTTGTGATGAAGGTATGCGCACCGATTTTGCTTGCTCTTCATTACACTGACCATCTCTCTAGATGCTCTCCCTGCTGGCATGAACGTCAAGCTCATGTGCCAGTACATCGAGTTTCTCGCAGACCGTTTGTCGGTGTCGCTAGGCAATGATAAGGTGCGCAATGCCACAAATCCATTCGACTTCATGGACGTGATCTCGCTACAGGGGAAGACCAACTTCCTCGAACGGTGTGTCGGATTACTCGAAGGCGAACGTCGACCACACGAATGCTAGGACCGGTCAGGTGGCAAGTAAGTACTACATCTATGGTATTATGACCTTGTCTAACAATCTTTCATCCAATAGTTCAACAGATCCAGCACCATAGCGCCTCGTCAACTGCGCCCTTCAGCGTGCTGAAGGTGCTCATCAGGTGCTCCTGCCAGGGAGCTATATGTTGATATGCACCATTTCGAGCCGTCTACGATAATCAATGACGGAGACGGGACACCGGTCTGTGAGTAGTCTATGATTCGCGCACTTGGCTGTAGTGCAGATGACAGGCTGTTGAATGTACCGATCTGTGATGGCATCAGCGGTTGGTGAAGCGAGACTGACGGTGGCTCGTTCAGGACGGAATCCTCGTCAACCTTGTCATATGACGGCATTGTGATGACGCATGTGGTAGCAGTGCGCCTGGTGGCTGGTTGTACTGGCATCGTGACGTTGCGAACGGTAGGAAGTTGCAGAGGTCGTGGCGTAGCTGTAGTTTGTAAGGACTTGTAGCGTTTCTTTGTGTGCCAAAGCTAAAATAATGTTCAGTTATATTCAATATTCAGGATAAAGCTCGTACTTTGCCGCACAATACATATTGTTGCACGATAAACTTGAGTTACCTCTTGGTCTCGTGTTGAGACTCCAAATGTGGCATGGACATTAATATTCATGCTACTCGTTGCTCCTTGATCGAACTTCATGCCCTTCATGATTCCAGCTAACAGAGTCAAGTGTACACCTTCGCGGTATGCATTGCGGTGAGCTTGCTCATTCCCATTGGTCATAGAAGGTGATGCTTTCCATGATGCGAGAGGAATCAATCTCATAGGTTGGTACAGTGCCGGAAGTGCGAATTTCGTTCCTTCGAGTTTGTCTTTCAACCACGCTAGTAAAAATGTCAGTGAAAATGAACGGTTCCTGTGATTGTGAATAATTACCTGCAGCCTTTGGCCCACCACGACGAATAGTATTTAATGTTCTCTGGATGTCTGGGTGTTCCTCACATGTCGCTAAACTAAGCATTGCTGAGTAAACTTCGTCTGAAACATGTGTGTGAAGAGCATGAACATTTCTCTTAAAGTGAGCTACGCATAGCCGGTACAAACGGCGAAGATGATCGTATGGGCCCAAGTCGCACACACGTCGGTGAGGTTCATGTGTGCATGACGTTGAGATAGAACGTGAAGGCTGCACACAGTACGTTCCTAAGCCTATGTCTCATGTATCAGTGAATACACGGATGAGGATAATCAAACATACCAAGTCCTTGGCCTTTCAAGTGGCTGTCAGCAATAACAATTTCGCACCCGAAACCATGAATGTGGCGAAATGAAAAAGACTGGCCAGTGTCCGCAGATGCAATGTCAAAAATTCGCTGAAGGAGAAGTAAGTGTGCCTTTGCGCTTTGTGATGTGGTGAAGGCACGAGCGCTGACAACAGCTGAGAAACCATTAATACCTAAGGGTACAAGTAGTGATTTATTTCACTCACAGCGACAACGTTCACTATCCCATGATTCAACCTCAAACTCCTGCCATCCTTGTGCTCGTTTGAATGAGGTATCAGTAGACAAACGTTTGGCTTGTATGAGATGTGATGACATTCGTGATGTCATACACGCGACGAGCTTGAACTCCACACCACGCTCAATGAGGTGTGTTTCTGCACAGCGGACATAGCGCTGTTCCAGAGGCAGGGATGCATGTTCATTTGCAAGACGACATGCACCTAAACAGAAAAAAAATGATAATCAGGGATCGTACTAGGTGGTTCAAATATTGTATGAACATACCTTCAAATCCTGTTCCACTTGGGTACTTCATAGGCCTCGTTATGTTAATAAGGCGACGCACATGGTTAAGATTAGCGAGTGATGGATGCAGGTCTTGAAGTATTGCATCGCGGCCATCAGGAAATTGCCAGTCGAGCACTCGATGAAGACCCTCAACAAAGGCTGTGTCCAGGTATATTCGTCGTGGTGTTGCATCCGCGAGTTTCCACTTCATGAGGGAAACTAATTCATGAGATACGCCGATGAGGGGAGGTGGAGTTTTGACAGGTAGAGGAGGAGGATGTGAATGAGGGTCGGTGCAAAGGACAAGTATTCGAGGGCAGGCAAATAGACTTCAGGAACATATATGTCAAATGATGCTGCGCAGTTGTGTGCCCATTTTCGTAGAACACCTTGCTTCAATGGACCATCAGCCTGGCGATGCCAATGTGCTAGAGCACAAGGATATGATTGGAAGTAACAAGCTACAAAACAGAAAAAAACATACGACACATTTGTTTTTGTGATGATGGACCAGTAAAAAAACTACATGGCATCAGGGGACCATATCCCCACGACTTTGCAAGTTGCTCGCACTTCGTAATCATGTGGTGGTCCTCATCCAGTAATGCCTGCAAGTAGCAGGTATCACTCTCCTGCAAATTTCGTATGAATAAATGCGAGCGTGCAGTGCGTGAATGCAGGCTGCATCTGTGATGCAGAATGTGAACGATGTTCACTGAGAGTGACGGGTTGATACTTGCATGCGCCAGCAGTCCAACATCGCCGCCCATAGATCATGGTGGATGACGTCATGCATCTGTCGAAACCCTGGCTTGCTTCCAACGGTGTTCGATTCTCTTGGCCTGATTATATAGGTAAGAAAAAAATCACGTGGATGCAGGAATTGGCTGAAAACACCCATCGTCGCGGGTAGGAGTCTGGCCGAGCTCCAGCTCAGTGCTTGGAGGACCCGCAATCAATTTTAGTACCGAGAGGTGATAGCTCCTACATGAAACAAAATCGTACAGTATCAGAATTACTAGTACCACCAAATGACTGGTGACATAGAACCAAATGACTGGTGACTGTGGGGTGTTGAATTCACCCAAGACGTCGGTCACATGCACGGTAGTAGTACTGACCGCCCAGATGTATCAGGTTGTTTTTAGAATTTTCAATTTCAGCCGTTGCTCAGTACAACCAAGCATATGGATCAGCCACCAAGTAAGTATGTAACGGAAGGTGCCAAGATTAAAGTAGTTCTGGTGACAACTCTATCCCAAGTCGCTGGGACCTTTACCCAAATCCCTGAGTCACTATCTCGCAGGGGTAGGTTGAATATCGTCGAAGTGCGCATGGATTAAGGAAACCAAGTCTGTCAAGTCGGTATCTGCCTGGCTATCCCCAGTAGGTAGATCTTGTTGCGAGATTAGCCGTAACACACAGTCTGCAAGCTGTGCGTGAGCGCTCATGGTCCCGATTTCTTGCTCTTGCTCTGCGAGCTTCCCTAGTAATTGCTCTGTCTCTACCTCTAGGTGGCGGATCTTTTGCTCCAGGTCATTGATGGCCCTCTCCTGTAGCTTCCCATCCTCTAGCTCCTGATCTTGGCGGACGAGCCTGCCTCGCAGTTGATCATTCTCTATCTCTAGTAGGCAGATCTTTTGTTCCAAGCATTTGTCGGCAACCCCCATTTTCAGCTGCCCGTTTTCCAGCGTTAGCGAGCAGATCCTATCCTCCAGGCTTCTGGTGACGGCAGCGTGTCTAGAACCTTGTTGATCCACAACGCTTCTGAGAAAGTCGCACGTCTGCAATGAACCTTGCAGCATTTTCAACAGGTACGATTCGGCCTCCTGACGATTGGTGAGATCTGCCTGCAAGGACAGGTCCTCCACGACAAGTTTTGCTAGTCCATTCGACAAGGTAGCCATATCTGACTTGAGTCTGACGACATCGCAGGAGGGAAGTCGGGGATCCTGTGCGGCATTACTGTGTATATTTAACGTGGTGATGTTTGGAGGTGTAGTCGTAGGCGGGGAAAAATTCGCAGGCGCTACGGTAGGGATGCTTTGGAGCTGACGCAAGCCTGGAGAAATGGGCGTCGAAGCTGAAAGAGGTGGAGGGTGCCCTGCGAGGAGTCGGTCAGGGATTTGGGGGTAAAAGCTACTACCTACCTTGAGAAAATCTGACAGGCGCATGTGTTGAGGCACCCTGGGATGAGGGTGGAGGTGGTGGGAACGCCTGGGCTGGAGACGGTGGGGATGCCTGGACTGGAGATGGTGGGGACGCCTGGACTGGAGATGGTGGGGACGCCTGGACTGGAGATGGTGGGGACGCCTGGACTGGAGATGGTGGGGACGCCTGGACTGGAGATGGTGGAGACGCCTGGACTGGAAATGGTGGGGGAGCCTGGGCTGGAGGTGGTGGGGACGCCTGGACTGGAGGTGGTGGGGACGCCTGGACTGGAGGTGGTGGGGACGCCTGGACTGGGGGTGGCTGTTCCGGTGGGGAAGGAACTATCAGCTTGATGCGTTTAAGTGGCTTACGCTGTGGCTCAGGCAAAGACGATTGCGCCGAAGGGTGTTGTGCAGATGTCTGCTGCATGAGGCGGCTATGCCGTAAGGGAGTGACCCTGCTATTATTCCTCCTGCGTGGGTGCTCCCAGGAAAGGTTTGTATGAAGGGCCTTCAAGCGCTTTCGCAACTCGTCGTCAGAGGAGCGTCTAGCGGGTTCTGCAAGCCAAGTCTGGTAGTACCTGCTTAGAGTACCTTGTGGATCTTTTTCCTTCGAGGATGCCAATACGTATGCCTCTCCGACATCTAGCTGGTATGCCTCGCGTATATATACCTCCAAGAGATCTTGGAGCCAGCTACATACCCCACCGTGTTCATTGCGGCAAGCAGTGCATCTAAAGTTGCGCTGGGTCTCGTTCGCCATAGGCGGGTACCCGCAGGCCACTACCTTTTCTGCACACGCGCTGCACTGAGATGAAAATTAGCGTCAGCACCATGTTTGAATAGCAAACAAAACTTACTTCACGAGGGCATGTGGTCATAAACCACCGAATGAAGCTGGGCTTGCTAACCTCAAGCTTAGCATCCCTTAGGAATGCAGGCGTGAGATCCCTGGCAGTCCTGCGCGTGACTGGCGCGCCTAAGGAGATATGAGATGGCATGTTTGAGGGGCGAGCGCATGTTAGCTGGGACGGGTCGTCCTCAGGGTCGAGATCCTCGTGTATTTTCCTTTTACCTACAGCTCGAACGCGTTGTTGCTCCTCCGCAGGATCCCTCTCGTCCGATCTACCCACCATCAGTTCCGCAGGATCCCTCGTACCTCCAAAACCACCAACACCACCTGCGATTTGCGAGGGGAGAGATTCTACTCTCTGTCCGCTGGAACTATTCTTGACCTTGCGTGCCATCGTATCAAGTGGATGTGCAAGTTAGTAACGGCCGGTCTGGGTGCTTGTCTGCGGGTCTGTGTCTGGGGTCAGGCCCGGGTATTGAAGCGGAGTTTAAAAAGCTGCCCGCCCGCTGCTCTTCAGACATGGTGACGGGCTGTCAGCCATAGTACTGGCGACTTCCAACTCCGTCATCCGTGCCAAGCGTGTGGCCAGACTTGATGGTAGATACAGACCTTGTGTCTGCAAGGTGTCTGTGCAGACTTACTTTCACCCAGACCAGCCATTTCAGACTCATCACCGATAATGAGACCTCTGGCTGCCGCGTGTGCACGTAGATACAAGCACTTTGTCCGGCGTATCTCCGAGTCCCCCGCATACACCATGATATGAATTTTTCTTGATCAGCCACACAAGCTCCTGACCCCAGCTAACACATTTAGGCAAGATGATACGATCTTGAAGTTCATTCGTTATACATGGAGACGTGAAATGACAGCAGCTACTAGTAGCCCTTATGCAAATGAACGTGTGAACCAGCGCCGTGATTTTGATATTTGCCGTACCAGTGGCTGACTTCCATCGTTCCTTGCTTCGTCATCTCCTTCTCCATTCATACTGTAGACTTCTACTCACATGAACGATCATCATGTAAATCAAATGGCCACTGTAACTTCAGCGCAGCATTACAGCAGATGTGTCTTGTCCCTAGCAACGTTTTCTATGGACGACTATACCGTCTTTGCACCTGTTTACGGATTTATTGAGTGTAACTTATCTTCGTTTTTTGTTTCTCGCCTTGAAGACACTTATGCATCTCATGATTCTTTCCGCCCAGACCAGACCTTACCTTTTACTGTACGACTGCCACCTCCTGCCTGACTTCCCATATATACAGGAGCGTCTAGTTCATTCTCTGCCGCCGTACTGTTGTATGTCGGATTTTTGTAACGTAACCCGCCGCACTTGTGCGACGTCATCGATTTTGCGATATGCCGCTGGTTGTGATACCTTTGCGAGTACTCATCATATCGTCGCCCTCTGCTCAGTCTTTCAGGCCATCCGAAGCGCCGCCTGTGTTGGCACCAACCTTGTTTGCTCCCAGACTAATTTTCCCACCTAAACATCCTACAGTAGAGTCATCAACTTCTCTGTAATGTTGACGAAGTTGTTTGAACTCACAAGCACTAACTGTGAAAAATCTGGTTTCTTTGGTAGTCCTGAAGTATTGAACGGTCTACTACTGCGAGTGAATTCTGGCAAATACGGGAAACTTATCCTGTTTAGTGCGTATCTGGAAATTCTACTCACTCACCACACCCACACGATCAACTTTACGGTGGCTTCTAATTTAGACTCAGCCAGCATCGGTCTCTAGCGCCCTAATGTCTAGGCCGTTGTTCCACAGAACCCTCGAGCGAGCGCTGATCAGACGGGATGAAGATAATATAACAGTCAGGTGGACTCCAGGACATAAAGAAATAGAAGGGAACGAGCTAGCTGACACAGAGGCGAAGAAGGCAGCAGGAGGACACTCCAGCGCAGCGCCCCTCCTCCCAAACTGCCTCCGCAAGCATAGCCGCAACAAGCCCCACCACCATTATCCATCTCCCGTGCAGCAAGTCCGCGCTAAAGCAACAACACTGTGATCAACTGAAAGACGAGGGCCGTACCATTATGATTGAATCACCCCGCTATCCTCTACTCAAGAAAATCGACGACGGAATCCCGTCGAACCGTTATCAGAAGCTAGTCGCAGCCATGCCACAAAGACAAGCAAGCATCCTAATGCAGTTGAGAACGAGTCATGCCCCACTCAACAAGCATCTTCACTGGATTAGCAGTGTAGACTCACCTCTATGCCTAGCATGCGAGACCAATGAAGAGACGGTACACCACTTCATTATGACTTGTCCCTCGTACCGAGCGCAACGCGACGCCTTGCGGAGATCAGTACCCAACCGAGCATACCACATCCGAAATCTCCTAAACAGCGACAAATACACTTCGGTTCCCTTCAAGTATATCGCAGCCACCAGACGACTAGAACGCGCATTCGGTGATGTGTCAAATGCAGACTAGAAAACGGAACTAGTCAATAGTATATAGCATGTAGTACTGTCTACATCGGGCGCTGCCCCAAGACGACAATGAATAGGATTTTTTTTAAAAAAAATAACGTCCAGGCCGTCAGCTCAAGGGATATCTACCGGTCCCGCACAGATGAATTTATTGAATCACGGAAAAGAAATGTGTTGAGGGGCGGGTTAAAAGATGAAGCTACCACCACCTCGTTCAGTACTCTTCGGCCCTCGTATTCAGCTCTCACGTGGAAGTTACGAACATATGACTGATTGCACATGACCTATATTGATTATATATGGAGTTTTACCATCTTTTTGCAATCGCTCTCGCAACAAATCTACGTCCAATTCATCAATGAAGATAATTGCAGGTGCTTTCTCTTTGGCAAGTTCAAACGCGTCGCGAACCAGCTTAGCACCATCACCGATGAACATCTGGACAAGTGAAGGACCGGCAAGCTTGAGATAGCAAGCCTTTGTCTGCGCTGCACATGCACGGGCAAGAAGAGTTTTCCCAGTGCCTATCGAAGATATAAGCGATGGTACGCGTGTAAATCAGATGCACACGTACCTGGTGGCCTGTACATCAAACAACCTTTCGGTGGTTTTATTCCCAAAGTCTTGAACTCGTCTGCCTGCTCCATCGGCAAAACGATGGCTTCGACCAACTCTTCAATTTTCTTCTCCAAGCCACCAATATCAGTGTAGGATATGGTTTTGAAGCCCTGCCGAGCCGTCGCCGGTCGAAATGTCGTTCTCAAAAGCCAGAGCGATCTGTCAAATGCATTAGTAATTTGTTTGGCTATCTACATAGAAACAAATAGCCCGTGGTCACTCCGAGACAACTCGTACCATCATGGCCTCCTCTCCGTCCTTGGCTCCATCCAAAGATTCACACCTTCAGCTCAAGGGTGTGGGACATAGAAAGCTTCGTGAGGAATCTTGGGAGGTGATGGAGCAGGTGAACTCTGCAGGCTACGAACACCAGAAGGAGAGGGTACAGCACAAGAGAAAAAACGAGCAGGATGATCTTTTAGAGAGAAGGAAAAGGCGTATGAGAGAGCCATTACAGATGCGGTCTGCAGAAGAGCCTGCGCAGGGGGGATTTACGTTCATGCAGAAGGACTGCCCGGTCAAGGGGTCCGCCCCGAATGACATCAGGATAAAAGAGGACCTCGCTTCTTACTTGATACCCTCTGAGATGCCCTACGGGACTGAGACTGTCCGGTGGCACAACGGCCAGGTCACTGTACTTCCTGCAGTCATGCGCGACGGACGCAATGTCCTTGAAAATGATGCAAAACGTGTTCGCCAGATGGCAGCCCTCCCTATCTCATCACCAACTTCCTTTCGCGTCGACCACGTCGATGCAACGGGCCTGAAGGACGGAGATCTCCGTAATCGAGTAGCTAGTGCTTTGAGGGATGGCCGTTGTGCGGTCGTACACAGGGCAGCGGAGCCGGGCCCTGAAAAACTTACTCTGCAATATCTACATGATCAGTTTGGGATATCTGACCGGCTGTGCTCCCTCCACGGTCAGCTGAAGCGTATATGCGCCACTTCTTACTCACTGTTGCATTAGACATGGCACGACGCGCTGAAGATTGGACACACCCCCACAAAGATGGGACCATAGGGCGCCTATTGGATGGAATTCAATATCCTGACGAGCAGCTTTGCGCTCTGGACATCCCGCTCCCCGCCTTTACGGTCCCGTCGCCCTTCCAGTACGTCTGCCTCGCGATTGAACACGATGCTAAACAAATTCACTTCATTAGAACCTTAGACCATGCTGCCGTCTATGCATGGGGTGAGACCACACATGAATACCCCTTGGAAGACACTCGACCCCACCCAGATGTCTTCCTGAACCGAAGTTGGGGTCTTCTGCACCAAGCCGGAATTTATACCGCTCCTCACCATGACTCAAATGGCCGCATCACATTTGTCAGAGTCGTGTCTGGAATGAAGATGTGGGCCGTTTACGACCTGGAGGATACCTCAGCAACTCGTGACGAGGCTTCAGACGCATTCTACAAACTCTGTGACATAGACAGCGACCTTTCCCAACTTCCGAAGGGCTTGGTGGCAGAAGTCGTAGTGCTCCACGCGGGCGACATGCTGTAAGCTTCAACGTATCCCTCCTATACCTTGCCCTGACGTGCATGCCACAGATTTATGCCACCCGGGAAGTTTCATGAGGTCTATACGCCACTGGTGACGTTTGCTATGGGTGGGCACTTCCTTTCTTACCTCACCATGCACCTTTCCGAGTGGTCGTGCTTTTTGGACAACCTGCACGGGTCTCTGTTTACCAACCAGGAACATCAAGATACCCTTTTGGTCCTGCGTCGCATGGTGGTGGCCGTCCCACGGTTGTCCCATTGCAGTAGGTTACGTTTTACTATACCAGCGATTAATATTCACGATTGCTCCGTTGGTTAGAGCTGTACTATCGCGCAATAGTAGCACTCTGTATCATGGTGCTCAATCCAGGTCAGTATATATCACAACGTGCTACCGAGGATGAAGACATGCCGCATCAATTTGGCAAGGGGGGAAAGAAGGCGAAGAGCCGGAAAGCGGTTAAGACTGCCTCTAAAAATAACGTAGAATCGAAGCACTGCATTGACAGGGCCGATGAAATTGCGAACCGTGTCCTGCAGACCCTTGAACTCGACCGCTCACGGGCTGCGTTGGTCTTAGATGACCAACCATACGATGAGGTGGGAGATGAGGTCGAGCTTGGGGACGAACTTGCACAGTTCCAAGCATATTGAGTCGCCACGGTGATAAGTAGATACATGTGATACCCCAGAGCAAGGATATCTGGTGACACTTTGGTATTCATGATATCTGCTTCATTTCTAGTGCAGTGTTTTGCAAATAGAGCTACGGATCAAAAGATGGGACTCTGATCGACATTTTCTACTATAAACAGTCTATCAAAAGATAGAAAAAAGTACCTACCGTCTAGCGTGGGTATCACGATTCGCAAATCATGTGTTGGATGTTGAGGCCATGAAGTGTCTGCAACATCATGATGAAAAGGTGCTTGAAAATTTGAAGTAAACTTAGAAAGGTGGGTATATAGCAAGGTCAGGCTCCGACTCGGAGTTTATGCTGGACGATGCATGGGTATGGCAGGCCAGATGTGTGATGATATGTCATACGTTGCTCAAATGATGGTCCTAGCAAAAGTTTGGATGTTAGATACCGTCTGAAGGCATCTAGGGACATCTAATGGCGGGAATGGAGCCGGTCTTGCAGGTAATGTTGTGTTGTCTGAGGTGGTTCCAAAGCGCTTGCTTTGAGCTATAAAGATGAGCCATTTCTTGATGCATCTTCCGTTAAGTAGACTCTGGAGGGTGCAGGCACACGTACCTAGGGACATCCTGACATCATTGTGAGGACGGTTGAAGGCAGGGCACTCCAAGATTAAATGGTAGACCGATACCTCCTTCTGATGGCACAATGAGCATACGGTGGAGGGGAGTTTCGATATGCAGTAGAGATGCTTATTAAAAGGGATGTGGCTGGTTCCGAGTCTGAACAAGAGTGAGTTGTGTCGGCGGTCAGTGGTGGGGCTAGCAAACTGCGATTGATGCTGTGGAGGGTCCATGCTTTGGAGTTTGGGGTAGCAAAAAACTTCACTCCTTGCACTTTGTACTTGATATAGTCGCTGAAGTGCTGAAGAGTTACCTGAGCGCGGATTTACTCATGGAATGTGCTGCGAGGGTGCGTCCCTTCGTTAGAAGTGATCTGGGTGAGTGACATGGTGCTGAAGACTCTCTCCGTGCTACTAGTACTCACTTGGCTTATTTATCTGCAGCCTCGTTGCCTGCACAGCGGTACCGAGCGCTAAGTGAGCGCTAAACAACCGTTAAGCCATTCACTCCTGGTGACACCAAGTTAAAATATACTGGTGACGACAAGCTTAATTCAAAGCGCTGAGATCTGAGAGCTAGGGAGTTTCGAATATGGCACTGTTTTGGGGCCAGTATCCAGGGATGCCATAGATGATCTCAACAAACTTGCTGAGCTGGGCCTGCTCGCAAATGAAAATGAGGACCAATCTTCGTCTTTGTAGCTACATTTGATTACTAATCTATCTACCTGCCTGACTTCGCAAAATATAACAAAGTGCACTTCGAATAACTAGAAAATGCAGATCCCGTTGCCCACAGAATGGCTTGTGGGCACCATAGCGGAGGCTGCGGGAGATCCCGAGCCGCCGTGGGCCCATCTTCCTGGTCACGAGTCGTCCTTTGGCACTCGTCCCTCGCACCTCAGAAGGAACATCTTCACCATCGAAGTATCTCAAATCTCCACTTTGATCCGCTTCAGGTCTCTTCGTAGACTGGTGGGTAAACTAATTCACAAAACAGGTGACTTGGAGTGATAAATTTGATGCAGAGAGCATTCATCGTGTTTTCTTTTGACAAAAAGAAATACATTGCTGTGGATTTATATATTAAATGTCCTATTGTTAAGAGAAGGGAGTTTATAATGTGCCATGATGTATTTTGAAACTCTCGCCCAACGATGGTATATATCATCGGTCCGTCAGCTGGGTCACCAGTACTCTTTTTTAAACTCCGCCCTCCAAACGGTTCCATTTGGGAGCGGTGTCACATGGATTTGAAGAACGAGCGGAGTTTTAAAAACGACCATTTGGCTCCCATGGACGAAAGCGGAAAAAAAAACTGTGCTAAGCCGGCGGACAGTCGGACTCAATGACAAAGTGGTTTGAGATACATAGTACTTTATCTGACTTACTTACTAACTACATAGGTTACAGGTGTTCGTATTACACATTCTGTATTTCTCTACTTAGCTCCCTTGTACTGGATTTCGCGCTCGTAATTCGAACTCGACTCCTCCATCATCCAAACGTTTCCCTCTCCAGGCAGTTTACCACCATTTTGTCCAACCCTACGCTTCAGACACAATCGGTTCCATGGACAAACTCAACAATCAAAGTCACGGTAGATTCCAGTGGCACCGCAGACCACCTAGCAGAGTTACTCTTTCCTCAGATAGTGACTCTGGCGATCATATAGATGCTGATGGCGCCATCTCTGAAGACGATGACCTTTCTCCTGACATAGTCACGCATCCAGCAGCTACCGCGTGGATTGGTAAGGGAAGAATATTCCCGGCTTCTGCAGTGGAAATTCCGGACGACCTGGAGTCACTTTACGATGCGACTATGGCCGTTCCCAACGAGATACGCGCGGCTGTGCTTCCTGACCCCCATCTTCCAGTCTCCCGTTTCCTTGAGTTTCAGCTGCCGAGCATCTCGTTGAAAGACGCTGAGGAGCAGGCTGAGTCTTGTTTTCAAACTACACCTGCACGATTCAACCTGATGGCGCTGAAATCGCAAGATCTTCCTCCCAAGCAGTTTGTTGACGATGCATACGGGGCCGTCGGTCAAGCTCTTTTGGATGGGAAGCTTTCGATACGCGATCCGTACCATGCGTCCCAACCGTTACCTCTCTGGGTCATCACGTTGTGGAAGGAGCTGCATGGCGCGCATAGGGTCAAACCCGCTTGGATGAATGGGAACAGCTGGTTACAAAACCGGATAGAAGAAGGTGGCCCAGATACAGCGATATTTCTTAGGGCGCAGAGGCACCTGGCCCTTCTCTCCTGGGACCGGCTACTTGTTGGCTCAGCTGCTTCCGGCTCGACAACTACCTCGGTTCTTGCGGGTTTCTTATCCAGTAGCACTTGGATGTCGGGTACCTTGATGGACTCAATGTCAGCCTGTATGGCCTCTCGGATCTGCGACACGAGTCTTGTAATCCCCCAAGCCCTCATCGTCGATACGACCTTCATGTTGGAAATAAATAAGGCGAAGGATGCCTCATACTTCAAAGGGAAAGTGAGCCGGTCGCTGCGGGAGCTTGAGAAAAGTCTGGAGATGCCGAAGATCCTTTATGCCCCCGTCTTTCTCAACCAACAGATGCATTGGATCTCACTTGCGATTGATTTCACCACTAGATCCTTCTGCTGCGGTGAGCACCCTCTCTGCGGGTGATCAGCAGACTTACTGATGTCACACAAGGGGACTCCTATGCTGACGAGGACTCTACCATCCCAAAGCCCCTTGTTCGAAAGCTGCAGTGGTGGCTCACCGCACGTTTCGCCGGTCCATTCGTCAATCGTGGACTCACCTTGCCCCACGCGAAGCAGGGCGACTCGTCCTCGTGTGGCATATTTGCTATCAATGCCATCGAGTATGCTGTCTTCAAGCAGCCACTGTGTGGCCCCAACGCTGCCGTCGAGCGTGCTAGGTGGTTCTGCTTGACATCCAGCAGCCAGTGCCACGATCAAGTGGAGGACGGTCAGGCCCTGTCAACGACACTACCGCAAGCTGAGTATGCAAGGCTCGAGCGAGAGCGTGCAGAGCGCCGGAGGGCAGACCGGGAGATGTTAGAGCGGTCATCTTTTGAGTGCGATGATGCTGCGTCCCAGCAATCAGCACGCAGGAAGTTGATAGGTACGCTTGAGGCTATGCTACATATGAGCAGGAGGGTAGACGACGAGAGGAAGAGGTCAGGGCACAAAAAGGTGGTACAGGTGCAAGCGGATTTGGACCAGTCCGAGCAAGGAGGGGCTGATAATGAAAAGGCAGAGCTCCGAGAGGCTGGACAGGAGCAAGGGGATTTGGAACGGGCTGAGCATGAAAAGGAAGAGCGCGAAGAGGCAAGGCAGGGACAAGCAAATTGGAAACGGGCTGAGCAGGGGAGGGCCACGCACGAAAAGGTAGAGCGCAAAGAGGCGTGGCGGGGGCAAGCAGCGGGCAAGCAGTGTGCAGAGCATGAGCGCAACGACATGAGGCCCGCAGAGGTTGAGCGGCAACGGGCTGAGCAAGGGAAAGGTCAGCGTGAAAGGACAGAGTCGGATGATATGGTTGTGGAGGCCTCCTGCAAGCAGGTGAACGCTGAATGTAAGCCTTTCTGCTACACCCATATGATAGAAGATCTAAACCCTGTCACCTATACTAGTGCCTCCCGTTCTCGGCACATCACGGCAGGCCTCACCTACTGTATCGCTTACATCGATCCCAAGTAATTGGACCATCGACAGGTTGAATAATCCACCTGAGATTGACAACAGCATGACTCGCTGGGTCATCGAGCAATTTAACCGCCCCTTTATACGGTTCAACTCGGATTTACGTGTACCAAGGATCCAGCCCCCTGTGAACATTCCGTTTGTCTCCAAAGGGCGCTTGGAGGTTTCGAAGAGGACTGAGGCAAGGCTTCGCCTGTGGCGAGCTCAATACCCAAATGTGCCCGTCTGGTTTTTAGCCTTTCGCTGCCTCTCTCGTGGACTCGACTGGAGGGTGTTCCTCAGCATTTCTGACTTGGCTGCCCACCATCGCAGCCCCGCCTTACCCCGCCCTGCCTATCTCGACGTAATGCCCCGTGGTCTTACTGAAAATGGTAACGTCGTTGACGCGTACGTGCGTCAGGTCAGGCGGCTTCTTGGCTACCCACATGCTCGACGTTTTCTTACCATGGGCGGCCTTGTGTGGCGTATCGCATTGCACTATGGGCCACCAGACCTTTTTTCAGCAGCTCTGTCGCCCCCATCCACCGATGCCACTCTGCATCTCCATTTCGACAGATTAGGCTCAGACATCGACGACAGGGTCACAGATGGTGAGATAGATCTTCTGCTAGGGATAACTGATCGCGGTAGCCTCTGGCCTACCCCCGACCTATGGTGGAAGTGGCGGAAGTGGCAAGGGGAATGGTCTGAAGACCTCGAGCGCTGGTTTCAAGAGCGTATTGCGGTGATGACGTCTCGCCCTCAGTCTGCCCTTCTTACCCATGCACGGTGGAAGTCTTCCATTCGACGACATACTCTAGTCGCGCTGGAGGACCCTTCCACAGTGGGTACTGAAGCACACGCAGCTTGGCTTTGCACCGAGCTCACCCGCCTATATCCGTCTACAGAGACCTACACAACTTTACCATAGTGCCTCTGACAGTTCTTAGTCGCATACCACCCATCACTAACCAGCTTATGCTCGTGCTATACCCTTGCTTATACAACCTTGGATGCGAATTACATCCAACGTGTAGCTTCAAATTCATGTGAACGGACGGAGTGCGGCTGTAGCTAGGATGCAGGGCTGTGTGCGCTGTATATAATATTCTAAGCCAGGCAGCGTGACCCGTCCTCACCACCAAGGCCACGGCGCGCGGCGCGCAGGCTGGAGACGACCGTTTGAGACGGCGCGCCCACCAAGGAATATGTTCCTGGGGTATTCGGGACCATGACTCAGCGCTCAGCGCTCAGCTTGGACCTGACAGTGGGAAATTCCCTACATATTTAGTATGTCGGATCCAGGGCCCCCGCAGCAAGCATCACCCTATAATCTGCGTGCACATCACTTCCATGCAGAGATCTGGTTAAATGGGGTGACAGGTGCACGCCCGATGCACCAAATAAATATTTGAACAACTTCAATATAAGCAAACATTGTATTCTGGATCATGCATATATGATAATGACGGGTACGAAAAAAGGGGTAGTTCGTCGAGAGACAAATTATGAAAGGTCTCAAATACTTGTAGTGGGCTAGATTATGGGGAAAACTACCTTGAGATAGCCCCGTAATGGCAACACGAGCGGCCAGCGAACAATTAGTCTTTCCTTACATCGAGAAGATACATTCAGATGCGGCGCATGTCTAGTTACCATCGCCTGGATCTGGTTTTCCAGGCGGCGGCCATTTTCTCCCGACCCTTCAAGATCGTCATGCATCCTCTGTACATTGGCTATGAGGTCAGCCAGGTGAGGCCGTTCCACGGAGAGGGTCTTGTTCTCTTGCACATAAACACAACAAAAAAGACACCTCCTATATTTTCTTCTTTGCACGCAGGTTTGCATTCTCATTGCGTAACTGCTTGACACGACTATTAGCCTCGGACAACTCCTGCTGAGCTTGATTGCACTCGATATCAATTCGGATATACCGGTCGTAGAGTTGTTGATTGCGTTTGGTCAAGTTGTCGAGATCGCGGGTATGTAACGCTGCTTCGTCTTGGCTCATGCGATGACGGTCTTAAATAAAAAATCAAACGACCGAAAGCACGAACAGACTGAAAGTGCCTACCAGTGAGATATTCGATCTTAGCATTAGCCTTGGCAAGCATAACATTAACCTGCCCGAGATTGTGATGCGCTTGCTGTAACTCCTCTTGAAGCTTCACGGAATCCGTACCCATCTCAGCTTTATAAGCCTCGAACCGAGCTTGCACGTCTTCAAGTTCCGCAGCTAGATCGTTCTTGATAGGACCAGCGACGCCGTTGATGTCACCGTTGATGCCCGCATGCAGTCCCGAGCGCTCAGCCCGCGCAAGCATGGCTTTCAACGCATTCCGCTCCTTCATGTATGCCTGAATTGTCATATCGCTGCTCTTCTTCTGCCTCTCAAGCTGTGCGGCTAGATCTTGAATCGCCTCTCTCATGGCTTCACTCTGCTCTTGGTCGAGCGCTTCGCGGTACTCACGCTCTTCCGCCTCCATTTTAGAGCCGAGCTCACGTACAATCTTGAGTAGCTTCTGGTTCTGCTCTTGTAGCCCACCAATACTGCGGAAGAGTACGAGGTTGTTCGTGATGACAGCATCAATGTTTTCAGCTGGTAGGGGTTCCATTTCTTCTATCTCAACATCCGTGGGCAAGGACGGATCTGTGCGCCTCCCGAGTTCCTTAAGCAGAGTTTGAACTTGTCGACCGGAGCAACTCTGCCTCGGCCACCTCTGGGAACACCAAGCGAGACCGCACCACTGGTGGGTGGCTTTTCTCCACTGGCAGCTGCAGGTTGGCCTGCTGTGGCTGCGGCGGTAGGCTTTACGGCTGTTGCACTTGGTGCAGTTGCTGCCCGAGTAGAAGCCGTGACTGGTTGTGAAGTAAAAGCTGCAGCGGTAACTGGGGGTGGTACCTTGGAGGTCTACGTTGTGGGCGTTTGCGGTGGCGGAGCCTCGGGGATCAAACCAGCCTTTCGCCACTCCAACACTTGCGCTTCCGGATCCTTGAGCTTGACCTGAGATCAAACAAGCTGTCCATCTTTGATTTTTCTCTTCGCTTGCGATTCTAATCTACCCCGCTTGACTGCTGCATCCAACTCTGCACTATGTCGTTCTTGGAGCGTCCACTGCTGCCTTGAGAGCTGCCTCATGCTGAGTAGTCAGCTGAGCTCGTAGAGCCTCCGGTTCTTGGGCATGCTTCTTCGAAAGTTCCTCGGTATTTACAGAAGTACCGCCAGCAGTCATTTCACTCTTGGCCTTCTCGACAGCAGCGGCAACAATGGCTGCTTGTTCTGAGTTGAACCTGTCTCCGGCTCGGTGCATTTCCTGAATTTCAGCTTGGAATTTATCGTTGCATTGATGGAGGTTCTTGACATCATCGGGCGCCTTTTTCGCCGTATCGTCTAAGGTCTGAAAAAAGCCGTTAGTGTAGCTTCGTACAGTGAAACCGAGTGACCAACATTAGCATGCGCTAATGCCTCATCTCGCGCCTTTATGAGTTCAAGCTTTTCCGACTCCCAGGAGCGTGCAGTGTCGGAAGTTAGAGTAGAGGATCCAGCTTTGCTCAGAGCCTCCTTTTCTGCTAAAAGCCTATCTCTCTCCTCCCTGAGGGAAGCCTAGATGAACAGGGTAAGTAACAAAACTTTGACCTGCGAGAAAAGCATACGATGAGCGTAGCTTGATCTGATTAACCTTCGGCAGATGCCTCGGCTTTCACAGCTCTCTCATTGGCCGACGCTCGCTCCAAAGCGACTTTCTCCTGCCGTAGCGTCTCTAGCTGGGAGTTCAACTGCTGCGATGCATCAGATGCCGAAGTGGTGCGCAATGCGTCTCGTTCGGCAGTAAGAATTTTGATCTTGCCCTCGAGCTCATTGACGGTGGCATTGAGCTGAGACTTCTCGCTGTTAAGTAACCCAAGGCTAGATTTGAACTTGTCGGCATTTTTGGTGTTGTTATCTTTGTGGGTTCTGAGGTTAGGTTCGAGACGCGAGAGCTTGAGACTGGTCAGAACGGCATTATCATTTGAAAAAAAATGTATCCGGGCCTGGATAGTGTTTGCTCGTTCTTCATGTTCTGTAGCCAATTTCTCCGCATCAGCCTTCTGAGTTTTCAGCGTTTCAATTTCATCTTTCAGCGTTTAAATCTCAGCGTGGTCAGTACGATCGTACTGCCAAGCCACGTCAGCCTGAAAAAATATGAGCGGTTCCGAACACTTACTTTGCTCAGCAACTGCGCATTGCGTTCTTGACAACGGCGGCTCTCTCCCTCAAGACATGTGATCTGTGCATCTCTAGCTCCTAGCTCACGAGCCTGTTCCTTGACAGGTTCGAGCTATGCAGACAATGCCTGCAGTTTCGCGTCGAGCTCGTGAGAACGTTTAGCATAAGTCTCGCAGCCAGCGCAGAGGGTGGCATTGCTTTCCCGAAGAATGTTGAACTGGTTGATCCTTTCCAACATTTCACCGTGCTGAGCATCCAAAGTTGCCGCTTCCATCGCCCGTTCCCGTTCCTAATGCCAGCGTCACTGATAATCAACAGAAATGGATACTCACAAACGTACCTCAGGATTGCCCTGGTTTCTTGCAAACTCTGAGTCAGATGCTCGATCTGAGCCTTCAAGCGGACGTTCTCCTGTTTACTGAGCTCAAGCTGGAGATCGACTATCTCTTTCTCCTTGCGCAAGTAAGCCACAACAGATCTGAGTTCCGAAACTTTAGTATCCACATCGCCACCGATATCTGCGTCACCAGAAGTGCCATCTGTAGCGGAGGAGTCTGCAGCCTGACGTATACGCGTAGCTTGAGTGTTGACAGTCTCGAGATGCTAATGAAGAAGAGCATTCTGTGCGGACAGATCCCTGAACCTATATTTGAATGAGATTAAAGAACCGATTGACGTCCAATCAGGGACTCACCGTGCATTGAGATCAGCAAGCCTTTTTTTGCTGCTTCCAGCTGCCCTCAGATGCTACCAGCTTAGCTTGGGCATTAGCAGCTTCTGACAGGTTTTCCCTAGAGGTAGTTTGAGCGACGGATAGTTGTTGCTTGAGGGCCTTGATGGTCTTGATCGACTCTGCATGGAGAATCACTTCATGTGAGTATCTATCTTCTGCAGCCTAGAAAGACTAAGAACGCAGATAACAACATAGTAATGGCAACTTACAAGTGCCCTTTCCTCCTGCTGACAAACTTCACTCTTACGAGTGGTGCGGTCAGTCTCAGAAGTCTTCTCAGAGGTGCTCAAGTCGACGATGGTATCCTCCAAAGTCTTCTTGTCATTAGTCCACTCACCCATAGCAATCCGATATACTTCGGATTTGTCCGTCATTTGATAGTAGCGATTGACTCGCTTCCTGCGAACGGTAGGCGACGACATGGAATATGAAATGCACAGGTCCAGGCTGTGACCCTACGTGCTGTGCACATTCCTATACGTAATGGCTACTTTTAACAAACATTCGACAGTGTCCCACGCCCGCTCTACAATATGATGAATCAATCACTGATGCATATGTTATTTGATTCTTCTGGTCTTCGGTTTTCTTTTGTTTTCTTCAACTGTTATTCTTATTGTCGTTCTCGAGACGTGTAGCTATAATCAGGCACGAGTTTCCAAATATAGCGTCATTTGTTCAATTCTGTTGTTTCTGCGTACAAACCACATCAATATACACATATGTCTCCACCGTGACTCAGTACTCAGTACTCAGTACTCAGTCCCGTCCTCCCAACTTCACGAGCTCACCCGCCCGCTTATCCCATATCGCGATTCGTAACACCCGTTCCATGCCCCCATCGTCGACCCCGCCACGCGCCAATGTAGCAGCTCACGTGCCTACAGGACAGCAATCTACCCCCAACAGCCGTGGGGGGTCTGCTATCAGTAATCACATTGGCTTGCTTGGTGTCAAGTGAGAGCACCTTTCAAGTTACATCTGAGTGGCGCTAACATTCACTCAAGTGTCAACAATCTCCGCCCATGGATAGAGCGCGACATTGAGCAGGCTCAGACGTGCCCTGTAGATGACATGCTACAGTTATTCCTGCAGCACGTATCTCGCAGGCCCGAGGCTAAACAACCCGATCTCCTGCAGAAGTGTCTCAAGGAGGTTGCGCACGTTCTCAACAAGATGCCAGCTGCAGATAGGTTTCATCCTTCTCGCATCAAGGAAGCCCTCGACAGCTTGTGAGTGCTCTTTTGCTGATTGAGGTGCCATCATGCTCATAGAAATTGCCAGCGCATCGGAGCGAATTGAAACTACATCCTACGGGCCTTTTGTTCAAGCTTCAAACATCGCATTTACATGCCTTGCAGGACTCCAAGTCAAGGGAATGCTTGATACGCCCTCCAACCTTGACATCATTTTTCAAGTGAACGATCATCCTATCCACCAAGATCACCAGGACCGCACATCGAAACGGAAGCCCGACGTTGTCATTCTTCCTTACACATGCGCGTTCGCTGGCTTGCCCGAGGAGAATCGCGATATGGGCGCCGATGATTACAAGCTCATCAGTGCAGCCACAAAACCGAAAAAGCAACTCTTTTGGAAAGATGTTCTAGCTTGTATCGAGTTCAAGAGACCGACGAAAAGGCTTTCACAGTGTTCCCTTTCTTATGAAGTGGCGCCGTATAAGCCTACCCATCCAGAATATCGGCGCGTGGAACCTCCTGAGACCGACACGCCTGCGATTGCAGCGGCAGACTCTGCCCAGACCCCAGCAAGCCTGCCAGTACCCGACGCTGAACGACGTAAGTGGTGCATTTACGACCCAGATGTTAAACTAAACCAGCTCAGCTGTACGACGTTCGCCTCGTCTTGCTGTAAGCTCTCAAAATTCATCCAACGACTCCAGCAAGCGCAAGGCCGCCGAAACTTTGGAATCCGCCAGCAAGCGTGCCAAGACTGACAACGACACGGAACCGGACCCGGAACCCAAGCTAGATGTGACTGTCCAAACAGGGCTATACGCTGCCGAAATGTTTGCTGCCAATGTTGCTGTCAAACATCTTGTCAATCTCGTCGTTGTCGGTGTGTTATTTGGTCTCTCCATATTGGTTATGCTCTTACCATCGTCTTTATAGATGAGATGGTCTGGGTCTGGTATTATGATCGACAGGGGACTATTCAGTGCTCCGGTATCAACTTCATCCAAGACCTCCCACGATTCATGGTGTTATTATATGCGTTCCAACGATTCAGCCTTGTCCATTGGGGTCGAAACACGGACTTCAAGCACGATGAGAAGAATGATTCTCACAAACTCATGATTGATGGCGTAGATCTCGAGCTTCATACGACTCACAAAGACAGAGTGGCGCACTACGGACTCAAGGGACGCGCCACTAATGTGTTTCCTGTCACTAGCGCAAAACTCTCCAAGGACAACCCAGAGATTGCGAAAGATGGCATGGTGGCTAAAGTCTTTTGGGCGGAGGAGCAACGCACTAGCGAGCCAGACATTTTAAAGAAGGTCTACGAGATTGCGGAAGAGCAAGATGCCGTGAAGGGCCATGTTCCTCACCTACTATGGCACCACAAATTCAAGGATCCTACGTCCAAAATCAGAGAAGCGCTCGGTGTTTCAGAACCAGCGAAGGGTAGTCGTGTGCTCTACATCCTTGTATTCCGCAAGCTCAAGCCCATTACGGAGCTCAAAGGCACAGAGTTCTTCGACGCGTGGCGGCAATGCATCATGTGTATGTGGCTCATTGTATCTGCCTCTCTCCATTGGTTGAAATGATGTGCTTTGTAGGCCATTATGCTCTCTGGCAAGCAGGAGTCTACCACCGAGATGTCAGCCCTGGTAACATGATGTGGTACCGGAACGGAACTGTCTTGATGGGCGTCTTAAACGATTACGATCTATCTTCGTTGGCGACTGTGCTGGGTCCTCAGGGCAACGAGCGCACGGGGACAATACCGTTCATGGCACTTGATCTTCTCAGCAAAAAGGGCCAACGAGGCGAAGTCAAACATTTGTATCGTCATGATCTCGAGTCGTTCATGTGGGTTCTCGTCTGGGTCTCCTTGCGTTACAAGGATGGGCGACTATTATCACGGAAATCTCGCCCTTTCGATGAATGGGCAACCGTAGATGCCGAGACTTGTGGTGAGAAGAAGTCATTCTTTCAGACCAACTTTTTGCAGTACGAATTCTTCACTGTGGACCAACGTATGTGGGAGTTGGTGATGGATTGTTTACAGTCGCTTAAAGCAGACGCCTATCGTCGAGAAACCATTGGATACCATATGCGACGACAGGCAGGAGTCGGTGGGCTGATCATGGCGGAGGAATTTGAATTAGATGACCTCGAATTTCTCGACTTATTTACGCACACGAAGGCCTGGGTTCAGCTCAGCAACAGCGTACAGTGATATTCTCCTCGCTCCAATTACATATGTAATATCACATATTCAGCATTAATGCCATCATTACAAGCTGGACCTCAGGCCTCAATCGCTAATTGGTGTCCGGCAACATCACTCATAGACCAAGACAGGAAGAGATGTGGCGATGGTACAAATTTGTATTGTTAGGGTCCCTAAATTTGACATTCCCATATCCTACGAGCAGAAAGTCGACCTTGTTCAACAACAGTAAGGAGGTAATCTTCCGCAGTCGTAACGAACATAGAAGATCAAGTATGATAGGTATCGCAAAAGTCAGAGGTATCTCAAAATGTACGACAAAAGCAACAATATAGCTGAAATAAGCAAGGAAAAACATCGCATCTATAGAATAGCTCTACCCCAGCGCTTGGAAGATAACATATCCTATAGCGCCTGGTTTCTAAGTCTCAGCCCTCATTCGTTCTTGAAACCACGGCGTAGACATGCTCGTCGCGTCCTCAGAGCCAGAAGTAACAGTCGTCCTCGTCGCCTCCGTATCATCGCTCGTTGCAGTCGTGCCACCCACACTCCGGATCATTGATTGAGCACTGAACGAACAGAGAATGAGGCCATAGGACCAAGGATCGATGTGCGGTTGCCTGGCTCCGCGAACAGGTCCTTTATTCCTCAGTGGTGTGTGGCATGTACCGCGAGGGATCTGCGTGTCCAAACGCGCTCACAGATGGCGGGATAGGATCAAACTGTCGACTAGAGTTCAGCAATGCAGAGGACACGGTCGCTATGCATGAGTGGGCGGAATTTGCAGAAGGACGAGAGGAATTGGACCCTGAGAGATTGAAAACACGGGCGGAGGATGCAAGCGCTGAGCCTGAAGATGAACGTGCGGAATAGGGGCTTAGGTGCAAATGCATAGAGTGCAAAGACCCTCGCTCTGAGACCAAGGGATTCCCTTGATGGATGACTTGGGGCTGAATCAACGAAATTTGTTAGTCCAAGATTCTCAATGGCGGTCTTCAAACTTACGGTTCCAAACATGGTTCTCTGTTCACTTGGGTCTGATCCTGCACTGATACCAAGGAAGCCACGGGCTAAGCTCTTCCAGCCATCACCTGCTCGTGGCGGCTCGGCATCAAGAACATCGATTGTGATATCAGCGCCATTTGATGAGCCCGTGATCACGGACAACGAGTTTCTCCATGCATGGCGACTGGAAAACGGGACAAGACCTGGCGGCAAAGGTCTCCCATTTGTCGAAGCAGATGAGAAAGGTGCTGGTGCATCCAAAACATCGAGTGAGGGCAGCCTTTGCATTTCACGGACGTAAGGGCACATAATGGAATACCCGGATGATACCTGAAGGACTAACCTTGGACTCCGAGAGGCATCCAATGCCACGGTAGACGCGACTCTCGAGCAGGTGTACTTCGGTAAGAAGAAACAAGTCGAATCTCCAAGCTATGTTTGAGGAATATACGCTTTTCACGCTTCGACCACTCAATGTTATCGGTCAGGACGTCAATTTGGGTTTGCCGGCTGGTAGGGACGTTAATCAAGTATAGCAGTTCAAGAACAGAGGGCACTCACTCAACTTAGCAAAGCGCGTGTCCTGGTTTTCCTGGGTTTTCTCGATTTTTGATCAAGGCAACGACGAACGTCCTGCAACGTGTGTCTGGCCTGTCTAAATTCCGACTTTACTCGACACAGACGACAAGGCCGTTTGTTCCCCCTGCTTCCCTCGACCACTTCGATTACCGCCAACACCAACGCGAAAAACCGCGTCCTACGAGTCCAGCCTTTTATACCGCTCGTCCCGAATTCTATGACCAGCTCTCGTCATTAGAATCGGCTCTTCAACATGCCAAGACTGCGCTCACGTCATGCCATCTCCTTCTCCTTCCCAAATTCGCTCGGGAGGCCCTCCCACCGCGTGTCAATGCTTGGGTAGACAAGGTGAGCTTGGCCTGAAGCTCAGAAGCACCCTCACGACCAGCCGCTAAAGACGAGTGGTTCTCGTGCTCAATGAGCTTGAGACCTATAGGTCCATTGCAGAAAAGGCTAGGATTGCGGAGTTGCAGGAAGGTATCAGAGGTATTACAGAGCTATGTCAGAGATCTGACGCTATTGATACGTGTACACGTAAGTATAAGAAAAGTACACAGAAAGAATGGGCAGAGGCTGAAGTGGAAGGAAAGGTGAGAAATAGACGTACCGCTCACTACTTTCGCTGCCAGTGCGCAATGTCTTGATCTCTCCACGGAGTGCTTCCTGTGGGAGAAGTCAGTATCAATTGTATTTCAAAAGGATTAAAGATATAGAGAGGGCGCGGTAACAGGAAGGAAGGGTAAAATGTGTGCATAGCAACAAGGTGGCTATACGTCAACCCATAGGATAGAATATCTGGCATTGTGTGGTAGCTAAATATCTATGCAAGACAAATGGTATGGAACAACAGCGAATTGATGAACAAGGGATTGAAGCGGACAAAACTTACATTTCGCAACTCAACAGTCGCGACTCTGCTATTCGCGCGTTCCAGGTCGACCGTGATCATGTCAGCTTCTGCGAGATGGGAAATGATCTCTTGGTCTGAATAGAAGTGTCAGCATGCAAGACGAAAGGTACAATAATGAAGCAGAAAGAAGGAAGTGGAGGAAGGAAAGCAGTACAACTCACCCTGATGCTGGCTGTGATCAAAAAGCTTTGCCTGATTCGATTCGTTTGAAAGTCGGAGGTCGCGCACTTGGTCCCTATATAGTGCAACCTGGCGCTGCAAATCCTACTAGTATTCACTGCACCTCAATCAGTATCTTGCACTTGCCAAACACCAACCTACATAAATAACACGCCACGTACCGCTCGTAATTACTACGCACACGTTCGTCGTACACAGCCGGGCAACTTCAGCTTCCAGTGCGTGTGCCTCGGTGGCTTTGACAGCTTGGTCCTGTGCACGTGTGAATGTGTGGAGAGGTGGAGAAGATGGGTGAGACGACAGCTGTCCTGATTATAGCGACAGGGACGTCTACGGGGGCGCGGATGGCGGAACATATCTAACACATGAACCTGTATCAACTTAGGCCCAATATAGGACGCCTGTATTAGCCTGTATATGTATGGATCGAAAACAAACTAATTGCAAGGGTGTACTACACAGTGATACAGGGCGACTGGCTACATAGCAAAACTGACGAGCGTGAGGCTAACGAGCAGATGGGAGACGTGCGTGTGGCAAACAAGCAGAACGGGAGACATGCGTGAGGTGGATGAGCAGAATGGGAGACGTGCATAAACAAACGAAAGACAATGCAATGTGCATAAGTGCGGGTAAACGAGAAACGTAGTAGTACATAGCAACTGATGTGCGTGAGGCGAAAGAGCAAAATGGGAGATGTGCATGAGAACTGTGACGATTAAATGAGAAATGACTCGACGTACTGATGCGAGTAGTAGTGCAGATTCGGGGACGGATCTAAGCAACTGCGAGTGGTTCCACCATCTCGCCTCCCACATCCACGTGAGCATCTGACGGGCCAGAGATAGATGGTGTAAGAGCACAGGGGACAGAGACGAACGGTGTGAGAGCATGGGGGACAGAAACAGTGACAGATTCCGGTATGAGAGCATGGGGGACAGCGACAGCGACAGAGTCCGGTGTGAGAGCACGCTGAGGGACGGATGTTGCACTTGACCTTGCTATTTTGACCAGGGCAAGCCTATCACTATAGCTCTGATTATTTCTAGTCAACAAGCGCTCGTTTCGAACAAAAAATTCAAGTTAGCGTACCTGTTTGGCAAAAGGTTCGAGCTTCCTCCAGTGCGTCTCAAATTGTGAGTTGGAGCCGTTGGGGTTGTCCTTGCACCAATCCGTTCGACAAAGACTTCTGCAAAGGTCGCCCAGTAAGACATGATGGTAATAGTACCTGAAACGACACTTACTTTGCAGTTGCACGAATAGTAGTCTGTTTCGGTGCGGTCACTTCCTTTTTTTTAGCGCCTTTTGAAACATCTGTGGCACCCGGCATGCCCGCAACACCATTCTTGCTACTATCCGTAGTGGCCAGAGTAGGTGACGGTGTTCAAAGGAGCAAGTGCAGCGCTGGCATGCATTGCTTGCGACAGGTATTGCATGAATGACATGTCCGATGTTGAACGTGATTGATAGTATCGATGGGATCCGAGTCACAAACCGAAG